GGGGGGGGGGGGGGGGGGTGTTGGGCTCTGGCTTGTCCTTGAGGGTAGGGGCATGTTGTAGGGTGAGTGCTAGTTAGAGAAACCTTATGCTAGAGCTGGGCGACAATCCCTGGGTTCGAAATATGTTCAATACGTTCCAAATAAAAGTCCTGATCTGGGCGCGGAAATAGAACGTGGACCTGGATCACAAAAGCTCAGAGTAGGGGGAACTTTTCATTGCACTGGGTTGATATCACGAGTTTAAAAGGCCTGGCACATCGCACTGCCTTTACTAGCCTACTGCTATGCACAGATAAAGGAAATCAACGAATATATGACTGCGATCTGCTTAGACCTTCATCTCGGTGAGACCATGCTTCCAGACAGTGACAAAGGGAGTGACACCATCCTCACGGTAGTTCATGAGGAGGACCCTATATATGGTCAGCAGAGCTCCTATTTGAGCAGAAGACAACACTCACATTCCATCAGGGTCCATCGACTCGCCGATGTAGAAATCATAGTCCTTGAAGTTGGCCACAATCTTCTTGGCATACGCGGAGGCGCCCTTCTCGAATGCGGCGACTTCCTCATCGGAAGCTCCCTTCTCCTTCAATGCCTCCTTAACCTTCTTCATGTACGCTTCACGCTGTCAGACAATCATTCAAAGTCGTGGACTACGGGCACGTACTCTTGAGATGGCTGAGATATGACTTCTTGTCAAACGACGTTGACTGGAGACGGAAGGAGTTGACCACGTTGTTGACCTGAACTGCACCATCCTCGACACCCTCATCGGCCTCCTCAGCAGATGCGTTGGCACCAGTGTCTGTGTCTCGTATTAGACTTGCTCAGATAGTTCGACAGCGACAGGCCAGCTGTACTCACCGACTTGGACGGCGCCGAGGGTGATCATGGCACAGTCAACTTCGTAAACGACGCCATCGACTTCCTTCAGATCGTAGGAGTCGGACATGACCTCGTCCCCGGTGATAATGTCCTGGATTGATAGCGATTGTCAGCCCTGGTACCCCAACCAACATTTTGCCGCTCCCCTCGGTGGTGTGGTTCTAGGCGCAAAGACTTGTAGCGGGGTTAGTTGAAGAACCACGAACCTTGTAGATAATCATGGTGGGCGATAGTTTCAGGGAGAAGTATGTGTAATGACAAGGAAGAGGCGAAGGACAGGAAAGAAGAAAAGAAGAAGTTCTTCGGGTATAATATGGACCAGAGGATCAGTGCGATCTGGGCGACGGATGGATTTGGAGAAAAGAATTCATGCGTGGGGAGTGGAGGGGCTATGGATACCTCAGGCTGCCATCAGACGGTACTACTCCGAAAAGGTAGCGATTAGCGAACTGCCGGGGCTAGACCGAGATAGGACTGCTGCCTGAGGCATGAAGATTTGCCACGCCGTGGACAGAGACACGGATAGGCACGCATAGAAGAGATATACAAGAGATAGATAGAGAGAACAGCAAGGAGAGACCAAGGGAGATAGACAGAAAAAGAAAAACAAATAATAGACGTGAGAGAGGTCGGCTCGCCGTCCATCTCCCAAGGGGCGTTGTCGACTCTACCTTAGAATCTAAAACCCTTAAACGAGATTTGATAACTGCTGATATGATCTGACTCCCAAGACGACGACTTGAAATCTCTTCCTTTCCACAACTCCAACTTCTGACATTCAAACCCTCCCTTCTCCCTTGTTCTTGTTTCTTACTTTTCGGGTTTCTTGAGCCTCCTCACTTGTACTTGTCCATGTCTGTACAGTAAGACCTACCTTTACCAATCTTGCCTCATCTTCCCTTTTTCTCCGTTTCTTCCACCACTCACCCTCACGCTCCTTCGTGCGCAACACGGTAACTGCACGACCAACGACAGCATCCCACTACGCCCAGCAGACATGGCGAATAACCTCACCATGTCCTCAAACATGTCCGCGGGATCCGACTTGCCACCCCTCCCTTCTTACACCCTCACGCCCGTCAAACCTCTCGTCCCCTTTATCTCCGACTTCTACCTCTCCCTATTCCTCCCAATCGCCGCGTACTGGATCTTCTCTCTCTTCTTCCATTATGTGGATGTTATGGACCTATGGCCGCAATACCGATTGCACACTCCTGCCGAGATCCTCTCGAGAAACCACGTCTCCCGGTACGAAGTGGCCCGCGATGTTATCATCCAGCAGGTGATACAGACGGTCGTCGGCGCACTGCTCGGCTTCACAGAGCCAGAGGACGTCACAGGAAAGGAGTGTTATGATATTGCCCGTTGGGCTACAAGATTACGGCTTGCACAGAGAGCGCTTCCGCCGCTCCTGGGCTTCCTTGGCCTGAACGCCGCGGCTATCTCCAAGAATGTCTCGGGGTCGCATCCCATGATTGCGGCGGTTCTGGCTGGTGGTAAATACCCGTCTCTGGAGGTGGGCTTGGACGTTTTGACCGGCTCACCTGTTCCGACCTTTGCCGCTTGGGAGATGCTCGTGGCCAGGGCTATCTACTATTATATCGTGCCTGCCTTGCAGTTTGCGCTGGCAATCTTCATCGTGGATACATGGCAATACTTCCTCCACCGGGCAATGCACATGAATAGGTGGCTCTACAGTAAGTTTCTCTAATCACTCGGTTTGCCACATTGCAATTTTCTGACCAGGCCTAGCATCATTCCATTCCCGCCACCACCGTCTTTATGTCCCGTACGCCTTTGGTGCCCTGTACAACCATCCCTTCGAAGGATTCCTCCTCGACACTCTTGGTGCTAGTCTTGGCTACAAGCTGTCTGGTATGACTGCACGTCAGGGAATGGTGTTCTTTGTAGTCTCGACGCTCAAGACTGTTGATGACCACTGCGGCTACTCGTTGCCATGGGATCCATTACAGCGTATCACAGGCAACAACGCCGGATACCACGATATCCACCACCAAAGCTGGGGCATCAAGACCAACTTCTCACAGCCGTTCTTCACGTTCTGGGACCGATTGCTGGGCACCATCTGGAGCGGAGACACAAGTGCCAGATACGAGCGGACGAGAAAGGCAGCACAGTCCAAAGTAGCCGCGGAGAAGGCGGCATCATGATAATGGAAATGGAAGACGAGGTGATGTAAGTTTATTATCTGGCCGATCGGGTCCGATTGTTCCTATTTGGGGGTTTGTTCTGCGGTTTGCGGATTGGATTGGACTGGGATTGGCGCGGGCGTTTGGCTGTGGCTGGCTAGCTGTACTTGTAGAGTTGGAGCGTCAGACGTCTCGGGAGGCGTTGACGTTGGTATACTGTGTAGGATACACCTTAATAACCTAATATCACTCGAATCCCCTAAGAAATTGCTGCAACGACTGATGATCTGGAGAGCAGCGAGCACAGATACATATCCAGCGAGCACAGATACATATCAGTCATGACTTCAATACGTGCTGCGCTGTACAGCAGATGCCTCTCAATACTTTGTACATGACAAATGTCACGCCTCGGGGCTGAGAAGGATGCACAGGAGGTCAGCTACGAAGGCAGAAGAATGCATCCCATCATACAAGATTTTAATAATATAAACATACGTCTTTCATGTATGAGCCAGCTGAGAGGGATTGCCGGGTCCCAAGTCGATCGATCAATGGGACGATCGGGTACCTTACAGTGCATTCGGCGGCGTAAGGACCCAGGGCGCGGGCTGATCGTCGATGATTGACAGCGCCACCGAGTACCTTGGTACAGTATTCATTTGTTGAAATGATTGCATGGTTATTGGGAGGCATGTGCTTTGTAAATATGCTCCATTCCTCCAGAGAACAGACTTCTTGTTGCTTATTACTGCCACTGGACTACCTACTTGTGAGTATCGAAGTCTTGAGTCTTGAAGTATTAAGAGGGGGGGAGGGGATATGGAGTTCCGGAGCTGGAGCGCTTGCCCCTGTCGGGCTGAATCTGCGGGACGACGAGACCCCTATGATCGGAGCCCAGGGCATTGCATCCTCCGTGCTTCCGTAATTCCTGTCCCTGTTTTTGGTAATTGAGTATTATTGTCTACGTATTTATCTACCTATTTATCCTCGTATTTACCAGTCCTGTGATCTTCGATTTATCCTCCGAGAAGAGAGACATGGAGAGAGAGAGATTGAACATCAATCCTCTCTTCTCACCCATCATCTTCACCGTCAACCTTAACCTCAACCTCTCCCCTTCAACCCTCCCCCTTCAAACTACCTTACTCTACTGCACACCCCGTAATATAACATCATTTCATTTACACATCATACCAGCCGCGAATCAAGTGCGTGCCGTCCGTCCCATGCTCCCCCCAGCCGTTCCCCGATCTCTGGGTCCGCCGGGTTCTCCCCTACAATCGCTTACATACGACGACGCATTCTTCATTCCTCGACGCCCGAGTCATGGTCCGTCCTCCGTCGTCCGTCCATACGGAGCCATTCCTCGTCGTCTTCCAAGTTCCCGCGTCCGAGGAGCGAGGACTATCTACATCGTCGTAGCCATTATTCTTTCGTCCGCATTGCGGTCCATCAGCTATAACCATGGCTCGCCCCACGCCCCTTCCACGTCCCCACCCAGCTCGTCCCGCATCCCCGTGCCTTTTTGGCCAGAGGATCACTTCTTCCATCATTATTCCACATCACTTCTATACAGAGTAGACGGGACCCCCGCGGTTCTCTCAAGTTTACTACCTTTACACTTATAAAGACGTCACGCAAGGGTCATATCCCTGGCTTCATCCCATGCTCTCGTTCCTGGCCCATTGAGGTCAAGAATCACCCCGCGCTCCCGAAAGGATGCAGCCCGCCAGAAAAGCAGCCAGTGCTACGGGAATCTGACCACGCCCGCTCCGGGAAGAAGGGAGAAGGCAAGAAGGCTGTCGTGTCGATATCTCCCCGAGCTCTTGTTGCCATATCCGTCTTAGGGGCTGTACCTGAGTGTTGCCCGACACCATGGACACTACGTTGATAACATTTCATCTGTACGTCCTGCTTCATTATTCCCTCCGGATGCAGTCGTTTTCTTGAACTTCTCCATTCTCTCTTCGAGTATAGACGTCCAATTGCTATTAGAAGCACCAGCCATGGGGATACTATCAGCCTGCTTTCCGGCAGTACTGGAAAGTTTGGTTCTCCTTTTGTCCTCAGAGACTATTGCATATCGCAGAGCCAGGCTCGAAGTTTCGAAGGCCAAGCTATCCTCCTGTTAAATATGCAAAGGAAACGCGGTTTATTTCCTGTTCCTGTCGAGTATGACGGAACTTCAACCACGTGGTTGTGGTATTGGCATGAGCGCACAGAACACCGTGCGGACCCTCCTTGTGATACCCCGGAAAATATATTACACTTTGGTATCACAGGTGCCTCCTTTGGATACTCACTTTTGGGTCAATGCTGTGTGGACGGAACATAATGTATAGGCTTGGATTTTGTAGTCTTATTGTCCTTGCATCTGTCTAGAAACGTACGCAGAGTGGAATGGGAAATTACTCTCCACTTAATATTTGTTGTGAATATAAGAGCGATCTTGGAGATACAACTTGCATCTATTGGTGAATCTAGTTTCATCCGGCTTACAATATTCCAGGCAAACTTCCTCATCAACCCAATCGGTTGATCTCGTCGGATCATGGGATAATTTCACAAAACACTACCCTATGGAACGGGACGCCAGGCGCGCGCATGGTCAGTGGCGTGGATGTCACACATTCGAAGACATCATCTCCGATACAGAGGGTGGTGGTAGCAGACCCAAAAGAAAAGGCGGTTTAAAAATGGGCCAAACCTATTACTACTATGTTTGTGCTCTTGAACTCGAGACAAGAATAGACAAGCTAACGGTAGTACAAGTACGTGCTGGCGGACGGCACTGAAACCCACGATTCTTCCCTCCCATCTACGACGTCCTGCCCATACCTTCCCGGACAGACGGTAAATCTCCTGTGGGTCCCAGTAGAAGTTCAACCGCTTCGTTATCGCAGCGCTTCAATGAGCTCGGTGGCCAATGGATACGTCAAGACCTTGAATCCCGCGGCTAAATTCGTGCCACTACGACCACCACCCCAGATTTCCACCCTGGTCCGATGGAAGTCATCCTCATTGCCTGACGCGAGAAATGGATCATCCCGTTCGGTCTCACAACCCGAGAGGCCATCACGATCCCCCCGGCTGTTTTTCGGCTTTAGATCACTGTATGCCCTAGGCGACAAATGTGACCGATCTTTATCACTGAGCAAGTTTGATGGAGGCGAGCCATACTCGGACGAGGAGAGGGAAGCTATAGGTACGCCAGGACGGTATTCGCGTGACATCTCCTCACGATCATCCAAGGGGTCAAGCTCCCCGGAACGTTCCCCAGTACGACGAATGACTAGTCGAGGGAGCAATACCTACCATATGCCACAACTATTGATCCCGGATGAGATCGAAGAAGAAGCTGAAGATGAGGAGTGCCTCGTCGACAATCTCGATAGAATGACGTTGAGAGGAGAGAGTACTTCTCTTTCTGTATTCCCTCCATTCTTAGATCCCCAATCCCCAGCAGCCCCAGCAGCCCCAGGCTCCACATCAACGAACACCTCAAGACCTCTCCCACAAGTCTCCGAGGAATCGCATCTTCCTCTCCAGCCCTCATCTCGCCGCCTCTCCGTCTCCAACCTGCCACGATCACACATCTCTCCCATCTCCACCGCCTTCCACTCCCCAACCTCTAGCCATTCCAACCATAGCGAAACCCCGTCCATCCCTCACTGTAATTTCTACGACGATCTACTTGTCGAGCCTGGAGGCTCGGGGAATGCGTTCACCTACGACCCGGTCGTGGAGCCCGCTGGCACGGAGTTCCGCAGCTACAGTCGACTGGACGGCGAATATGCCCCCGAGCACGCGCGCATCAAGGAGACGCGGACAGCGAATCGGGACTACTTTGGCGGCCCGTCAGACTTCACGCCTAGCTTGGAGAACGAGGCGGGAAGCATGGGCGCGTTGGACGAGTTGGCGAGCGAGATGGGGTATTTGGGGGAGTTTATCACGGCTGAGTGAGGAGGGAGGGATTAAGCATTTATGGTTGGTATATAGCATTCGAGACATATCTGGATGGGGTTCAATCATACTAAATTACTACAGCGAGGCGTCCGGTTATGGGGATTGGGACGGGGATTGGAATGGGCCGGATGGCGTTGGTTAGATAGATGATAGATGTAAGAAAGGGAATGTAAATGATAGTGTATACACATGATAAGGAGATTGACGAGGTAAAAAGTAAAAGGATAAAAAAAGGGGGGGGGGGGATTTCCCTCAAGCGAGACGGAAAAGGGGCAGCATGTACATTGTGTAGGCGCGCTCCGTAGATATGCCTCCCGGAAGTGCCGTTGATTATTACATAATGCTCATGCACGCAGGAAAACTGGAAAGGAACCTCGGCTTGGGGAGCAGGCCTAGCCGAAGCAGGCAAGGCGGCTGATTTTGTTGAGATGTGCCCGGTGTTTGGTCCTCCCCACCAGGACGAATTATTACAGTTCGAATTATTACAATGACAATTACAATGATAATTACAATCAGGAGTTGATGGAGGTGTGAACACGAACAATGGTTAATTGCGTGGGAATGGAGGAGGCGAGGGCGAGAATGGTGGACGGGTAGAGAGCAATGATGCATCAATCAATCAATCATAATGAAGCAAAGAGATATCCCTTCTCCTGTTCCCGGCAAGGCTGCCTCGGCCCATGCCCGCGCGCCAATTGAATTGACGGGCAACGCTGATAGGACGACCGGGGAGTCGGGGCCCGAATGACGACACGGCGCGAGGACGAGGCGCGAGGCTCAACAAAAAAAACCGACGCTGGACGTCCAAACAAGGTTGATCTCTTTTTCTATGGGAAATCCAGCCAACGGCTTTGCGAGAAAAAGGGTTGAATTATTGTCAAGAAGATACCACGGTAATGCAGTAGGGGACGGGAGGGAGTAGTGAGGAGGTCTGGTCGGCTTCACGTGTGAGGTCATCCATTCATCCCATCGCCCATCGCCCATCGCCCATCGCCCATCGCCCTCGCCCTTTTCATCCTTTCTCTTCTTCTTCTCCACTGGAAGCCTCGGCCTTTTCCTCCCCTCCCTCTCTTTTCCTTCCTCTGCGGAACTTCTTTTCGCCCCATCATTGTCTTTCTTCTCTCCCTCTCTCCCCCTTCTTCTCTTCTTCTTCTTCATCTCCATTCTGAGCGTCTTTGCAGAGCAAGCCTCCTCTTTCTCTCCCTCTCTCTTCTCTCTCCTCTCCCCTTGAACCTTTTATCTTCGCACATCCTTCTCGCCCTTCTTCCCTCTTGGATGTGTTGATCAAGAGCCTCTGAGTCCCCTCCTCCGGTGTCGCGTGTTCCCATCCCAATTGGGCTTATCGACACAAGACCTCGCACCTCCTCCTGATAGAACAGAACTTCCTACAAATACCTATATACAGCACCAAAGCTCAAGCGCTGAGCACGATGCCTTCCTCGCCCGTCTACTTCAGCATCCCCTCCGCCTCCCTCTACCAATTCCCGCCGCGGAACGATCCTCTCCCTCTCCCACCCCCACCTCCCCGCTCCTCCCTATCCGCCCCTCCCTTCGAGATCCCATTGTCGCTGTACCGCAGTGTTCTCGATGTCCGCGTCCCCATCACCATCGCCTGTCTGTACGCCGTGACCGTCACATCCTTGAACCGTTACAACAAATCGAGGGGAAACAAGCCATGGCGGATCAGCAGGACCCGCGCCTTCTACTGGTTCGTGGTGGCCCATAACGTCCTCCTGGCCGTCTATTCGGCATGGACCTTTGTTGGCATGTGGGGGGCGCTCAGGAGGACGGTCCAGAACCCAACCGGTCCGTCTGGCGTTGTGGCAACGGTCGACAGTCTGTGCAAGGTGCATGGCATTTCTGGTCTGGGCAATGCTGTTACCTACAACCCTGATCTCGCAGGATGGGTATCAGAATCTCCCGCGAGGGTCCACCTATCCGAGATGGGGACCCCGGATCCCACCGACCTGGGAAGATTATGGAATGAGGGGTTGGCCTTCTACGGCTGGTTCTTCTACCTGAGCAAGTTCTACGAGGTGCTTGATACGGCCATCATCTTGGCAAAGGGAAAGAAGAGCTCGACGCTGCAGACCTACCACCATGCCGGGGCCATGATGTGCATGTGGGCTGGGATCCGTTTTATGTCGGCTCCAATCTGGGTGTTTACTTTTGTGAACTCGGGAATCCATGCGCTGATGGTATGTGGTGTCCCCCCTCCTTTACCATGAAATCAAGCTAACGATTTCTAGTACACATACTACACACTGACTGCATTCGCAGTCCCGATCCCTCAGGCGCTCAAGCGTAGTCTCACTACCATGCAAATCCTCCAGTTCGTCATTGGCGCCTCCTACGCCGCCATCCACCTCTTCGTCACCTATACAGTCCCCATCCAGGTCCCAGATGTCACGGCCTCCGTCGCGAGCGTTGCGTCTGCAGCCTCGACAGTAGTCTCAGCCGCAGCCGCGTCGGCAACGTCTGCCGGCGTCGCAGACCTTGTGAAGAAGTACCTCTTCCGCGCGGCGGGCGAGGAAGGACTGGCTGAAAATGTCAACGCCCCCTCCGCAGCGCCGAGGGCCGTGCCCCAATCTGTCGCCCCTGGGCAGCAGCAATACCGCACGGAGTACCAGACCGTGCCCTGCATCAACACGAGCGGCCAGACGTTCGCAATCTGGCTGAACGTGCTCTACCTGGCTCCCCTGACGGTCCTGTTCGTGCGCTTCTTCATCCGCAGCTACATCAAGCGGACGTCTGGCAAGGGAGCGAACTACCCGGCGCAAGCGAACGCCGCGGAGAAGGCCGGCATGGACGCCATCAAAGGGGTGGAGCGGGAGTTATACCCCAATGGTGCAGCGAACGGGCATGCTAATGGCACGGCGAAGGCGAGGATGAACGGGACGCACTAGGAGAGGGGCTCGGAAGCTGGATCGATCAGGGCGGAGGGGGAGAGCAGGGATTACACAGGGAGCTTTTCTTCGTGATGGGTTTTTAGCGTGCATTTGAGAATATATCCGCATGCCTCTTCTTCTTCCTTACATGTGTTATTTCGGTGGAAAAAAGAAAGTTTGTTATAGTCTTATGACGATGGTTTTAATTACTTTTGGTACATATAAGCACGACGGAGTCATTATTATAACGCATAGGGATGGATGGTGGGTAGGCGGTCTTGGAAGGGAAGAGAAACAGATTTATATATATATACATACATACTAGATCTACACATATCAATAAAAAAAATCCACACTCAAATCCCCTCCAACCCAAACCTCCTTCCCCTCCCCCCCTTCTCAAATCCCTCAAACCTTCATCCCCCCCAAAATAAAGTCATATACCAACAGACAAATTGCGAAGATCTCCCTATAGAAATGAGAAAAAGAAAGCCCCGCACTCAAAAATCGTTGGTTGTGTCGTTCATTCTCGTCTCGTACATGCACTCTCCTCCCCGGAGGGAGGGGGAGCGGATGTATCCAGCTCAAGACCTGCGGTGGGAAGAGGAGCGGGTCGAGCGAGGTAGGAGACTTTTGTTGTTTTGTTTTGTTTTGGGGAGGAGGGGGGAGGGGGAGGGGGGGAAAAGGGGGGAGATGGAATAGTACCCAGCTTTAAGATAACGAACGGAATGGATCATGGTATATTGTTCATTAATACCTTAGTCCGCTATCTCATCTCTTCTCTTCTCATCTCTCTCTCTCTCTCTCCCCCGCACTGCAAGCAAGCAACTAAGAATCCTGTACGAAAAAGAAAAAAGAGGGAGTGAAAAAAGCACTGCTTTTCATCCATCCATTTCCTCTTCTAATCTTCTTCTCATTCTGGACTTATGGTATAGGGAGAGAGAGGGGAAAGGAAAATGATGATGATGTGGATGAGATATGTATGTATGCGATTGAACTTGGTGTTATGATATGATATGAGATGGATGATGAGAGGAAGTTGAAATTGAAATTTTAGGATGGGATGGGGTGTGTGCGAAGATAGGTTAGTCGGCTCGCTGCTAGAAGAGCGTTATGGTGACAGCCTCGTCTGGGTTTAAAGCAGCACCCAAATACAATGATTAGTAATCCGATCGCCGGCAATCCGGAGAATTGTAAGAAATGCCTGAGTAATTAGGTATCAAGATACCGGATTGAGGAACGGGGCACGCGACCCGAGAGGACGGAAACAGGGAATCGAGAATCCGAAGAGGCAAACGAGGGGAATGTATCGCCATGTATCTGGGAACAGAAATACGGGTTTGAAGAGCTTTCTAAAGGGCCGCATATGACAGGAATAGTATAGGCGGGGGAGAGAAAAGACAAGAGATATCATCTCTGACCTCAGATCCCCCGCCTTTTCCTTACCTAACGTGGGTATCGTCTTGTACGCGTAAGTACATCTGCAAGGACAAGCCAAAGCCAAGAGGTATAGGCTGTTGTTGAGCCTCATGGCTTTCTCGTCAGAGCTCTCTTCTATTTTCGTCTCTTTCGACTTCTTTTCTTTCATCCTTCTCCTTCTCTCCTCCTCTGCACCAGGATCGCCTCGTCGTCCTTCTGCCAAGTCTCAATCGCCACTGTCTTGTCCTCCCGCCTGTTCTAGACCTCTATAGGACGAGCTCGAGGCTGATGCACCCCACGGCTCGTCTTGGCCGTGCGCTGCGATGCTGCGACCTCAGATTGCCATCCCAGCTGCTCCTAGTCGACCTTCTTACACATCAACAGTTGACCGCGCTCTCCGGCTTCTGCTCTCTTTCATAATTGTTGGTGTCATATACAGATACTGCTGGATAGGTGGGAATCCTGCTCCTCTGGTGCTCCCTTGTGGAATAGAAGTATTGGGAACACTGCTGATACCCGACCCTTCGTAGACGCCTCGGATCCCTTCAAATGCAGTGCCCTCCTCAACAAAGGCACCTGGCTTGACCCCGGCCGGCGATGGAGCTCGCGGGCTCCCTTTCAGAACTGGCAGCCGCCGGGATGCATGATGCATGAGTACAAGAAGGATGACATCGAGGCATGCCTGCACGGCCGGCGGCTGGTCTTCATTGGCGACTCGACGACCCGCCAGATCTTCTGGGCCGTGGCGAAGAAGATGGACCAGGAAAGGGCCGAGGGCGAGATGACGGAGTTGCTGGATCATGCCCAGAAGGGGAAGGATCTGGAGTTCACCTCCGACGGTGTCACCGTCCAGTTCGTTTGGGATCCGTGGTTGAATTCTACAGGCCTGGAGCGCGAGCTGCAAACATTCAGAGCGGATCCGCCGGTCCCTGACGAGGGCGAGGTTGACGAGAGTGCGGCACTGATCTTGCTTGGGGCCCCGGGGTTGTGGTATGCGCGGCACGGGCAGGAGAACTTCTTCAGGGATTTCAGAACCTCGATTGATAGCGTCATTCCGTATATGGATCATGCGGGGTCTGAGAATGGCAAGCTGCCCTCCTCTCGACATTTCCGATCCCGTAACCAGTCTCCGAACTTCCTGCTCCTGGCTCCCGTCCAAGTCCCTTGGTATGAGGCCCTGTCTCCGTCAAGGGAAGAGACGATTACCCCTGAGAAGATCGATCTAATGAATGACTACCTCCAGCAGGTCTCTGCATATTCGGGTGCCGATGTTATCTGGAGTTATTCCTTGATGACCTTCGCAGGCCGGGCTCAGTATGAGGAGAGCGGCCTTCATGTCGTCGACAACGTCGCGCATCGCAAAGCTGACGTGCTTCTGAACCTGCGTTGCAATGCCGAATCCGCCCAGAAGGGTGATGCCTTCAACCGGACGTGTTGCAGCAATTACAAGCAACCCAATGGACTCCAGTGGGTCATCCTCCTCGTAGGAATGCTGCTGCTCCCGGGTGTTGTGTTCGTTCGTCGGAAGCACCTGCTGAGAATTGGCCGTCTGCTTCCTCCAGCAGAAGTGTGCAGTGCCCTCGCGGTATTGGCTCTCGTGGTCTGCTTCTGTTTCTATGCGGATCGGACCCAGGTCTTTGAGAAGGCGCATAGGCAGTTCCGGAGAGGGGAATTCCTCACTGCGTGTCTGGCTGTGGCAGTTATTGGCGTCTTCTCGATTCGAAAGAGCGAGACACCAGCCTCAACCAGCACCGTGCCCCAGAAGAAGAACGATCGCGGCTTCCTCTCCCAGGATCAGACCGCGGAATGGAGGGGTTGGATGCAGGCTTTCATTCTCATCTACCATTATACGCGTGGATCGAGGACCCTCTGGATATATGAGATAGTCCGGATCCTGATAGCTTCCTATATCTTCCTGACTGGCTTCGACCATACTCTCTACTTCTTGAAGATGGACGACTACTCCCTGAAGCGTGTCGCCGCTGTCATGCTCCGGTATAATCTCCTCAGCTGCCTCTTGCCGTACATGATGCAGACCGACTATCTCTTCTACTACTTGCCGCCCCTCATCAGCTTCTGGTTTCTCGTTACCTATTTCACACTCAGGGTTGGATACCGGAACAACTCGAATCTGAATTTTATCTTCGCAAAGGTGATTATCTCTGCTATCCTTACGACTGCGTTCACTATGATACCCGGTATATTGGAGTTCGTGGCTCTGTTACTGAAACACAGCTGTGGGATATCCTGGGACGCGACCGAATGGCGCTCTCGTACTTTCCTTGACATGTATATTGCTTATGTCGGCATGATAATGGCTGTACTCTACCATCGGCGTTCTCAGCTTGACTCGGGTTCTATAGTCCCAAGGCACATCATCAACTCCCTCCTCCGACTAACCAAGACCCGAAACACACTCTTCACGACCGTCATGGTCCTCGCCTCCGTCATCCTCCTCCCTGGCTTTTGGGTGCTCACCCGACGCTCTCCAGATCAGGAAGACTATAACTGGTGGCAGCCCTACATCTCCTGCGTGCCGATCCTCTCTTTCATAACACTCCGCAATTCCCACCGCGTCCTCCGCAGCTACCACTCCACCACCCTCGCCTGGCTTGGTCGCTACTCACTCGACGCCTACGTCCTGCACCCGCACATCTGGCTCGCCGGCGACGGCCATGGCCTCCTCCGCCTCGGCCTCTTCAACCGCTGGATCGACGCCGCCATTCTAACCCCAGCTTTCCTCTGGGTCAGCTGGCACGCCGCCTCGGCGTCGCGGACGCTCTCCACATGGATTACCGCGGGCTGCGACCCAGACGCCCAAGACCTCGACGTCGCCCCGCCCACGCACTCCCCGTACCCCTCCCTCCCTGGCGCGCAGCGCGAGGAAGGCACACCCTCGAAAACCTTCAGGTTCTCGATCAATGACGGATCAGCGCCGTCCTGGACTGCGAAGTTGGCGGAGAAATTGAGGACGAATCTGAGGTGGAGGCTGGGATTGCTGGGGTTGATGCTGTGGGTAGGGAATTTGTGGTATAGATAGTTTATTGTGTAGGTAGGTAGAAAGGAGGTTTGGGATAGGAATGGTAATATGATAAGATGTGATACGATATGTTGTGTGGTTTAATGATCTGTGTATAAGGTTTCAAATCAGGGAGTGAAACATGGAGAGCTACGAATGGACTGAGGCAGGTGGTAAAGTAGGAGAGAAGAGAAGTCCGCCATGTACCTAATAAATACCTAGGATACAGTGCACAATGGATGGCGTTGTGGATTCCTTCATAACTTGATGTGCTTATCTAGAGTTGTCTAGATACATATGACGGCTGTGTGAAGACTATGTAGACTGTCTGCTACTGGTTTGGATATGCCGTGGGTTCGGAGGGGAAGAGGTCGGGGGATAGAACAGAAGACGGATGTTCAAAGGGCGTATACACTGGTAACAGAGCACGAAATATTCCAAGGTGGAAGATCAGATAGATCGGTCTTGCATTCTTCAAAATACATATAGTCTTGAGCTGAAGAGACTGAATGGCCTTCTGTCGATGTGGCCTAGATGCTTGGATGCTCGATGACTGCGCCCGGCAGACTGCAGAGCAGATGTACGTGTATGTAACCACAGCTGATTCCCAAGTTCTCAAAGAAGTCGGAACGACCCCTAGAAGCCAGGCGCCCAGCAACGGGTCAAAAGTCCTCTCCGGACAGCGCGAAAACGGCCTCATCAACTGAGTGGGTAGGAGGCTGTCGAAGCATTATACGAGATAATGTTTACAAACTGCCGTGAATATATGAAAAGAAGAGAAAAAGAAGAGAGGACGTCGTCAGGAACGAAAACGGCTTTTCTACTCCGTAGCCGCGTCAGGAATCGCGCTAGAGCGAATCCGTGGTTAGCGGGCCTCCAACCTTGCCCAAGATGCGCTAGGCCAGATACGGAAGCGTGAACTCTGGCCAAATCAATGATAATTGTCCCCGACATCTGAACTCCCAAGTCCAAGCAAACACATTCGCAGAAAGGACGTCCCTACGCTGCGGGCCTACGATCCATCCCTTCTACGGCTTGATAACCGCCCCGCAAAGGAATACACAACCCCCTGTTCCGTGGCCGCCTCCTCGCCTTGAAACCGCACATCCCTCGATATGGATATCGACGCCCTCAAGGAGCAGGTACTACTCCCTTTCCACCTCTCTGGACACTTTAATAACAAGTGCGCAGTGGAGTGAAGTTGAGGATCGCGATGGGCTGCGGCTCAGCTGGAATGTTTTCCCCAGCTCTCGTATGGTATGTCAAATGTCCGGGTCGACTCGCAACTACAGGTAGTAACTCCAGGATCATAGGAAGCTTCGCGTCTCGTCGTCCCGATCGGTGCTCTCTACACACCTTTGAAGGAGAAGCCCGACTCTCCCCTGCTGCAATTCGAGCCCGTCGTTTGCAAAGCGCCGTGCAGATCTGTTCTGAATCCATTCTGGTAAGCCGCGGTGGGAACAGGAAACACGAGAGCCCCGAGCTGACCTCGGACCAGCCAGGTAGATGTGCGAGCGCGCCTCTGGATCTGCCCGTTCTGCCTTTCTCGCAATCCCCTCCCTCCCCACTACAAAGACATTACCGCAAATGCGATCCCTCCCGAATTACATCCGTCGAATACGACAATCGAGTACAGGCTCTCCCGGCCTGCCCCAAGTGCGCCCATCTTCTTGTACGTAGTTGATACCTGCCAGGAGGAGGACAGCTTGAATGCGCTCAAGGAGTCTCTTGTCATGAGCTTAAGCCTCCTGCCAGAGAACGCTCTTGTGGGGTTGGTGACGTTTGGCACCATGGTATGTCTCCATCCGCCCCCTATATATCGGCTCACCGCTGACGGCACCTCTCGTAGGCGCAAGTGCACGAGATTGGCTACACAGAGTGTCCGAAATCATATGTTTTCAGAGGCAGCAAGGACTATTCCGCAAAGCAGGTCCAGGAGATGCTCGGATTGACCAACCCCGGTTTACGGCCCGGAATGCAGCAACCGGGTCGGCCGATGGCACCAATGGGGCCCGCGGCACGGTTTTTGCTGCCTGTACAGCAGTGCGAGTTCCAGCTCACCAAGGCTTTAGAGCAGCTACAGAAAGACCCATGGCCGGTTGCGAGTGACAGAAGAAATCTGAGATGTACTGGCGTTGCGCTTAGCGTTGCTGTAGGATTGTTGGAAACCTCGTTCCAGAATGCTGGGGGACGGATCATGCTCTTTGCTGGTGGACCAGCGACTGAAGGACCTGGCTTGGTGGTTGGCCCCGAGTTGAGAGAACCCATTCGATCGCACCACGATATCGACCGGGACAACATCAAATACTACAAAAAGGCCCTGAAGGTAGGTTCAAAGAGATTCGACATGTGTTCTCTGCTGACAGACATAGTTCTATGATAACCTGGCCAAGAGGACCGCGCACAATGGACATATCATTGACATCTTCGCTGGTTGTCTGGATCAGGTAGGACTTCTGGAGATGAAAGGTCTTTCGAATTCCACTGGCGGCCACATGGTCCTCACAGATAGTTTCACGTCTTCCATGTTCAAACAATCTTTCATCCGCGTCTTTGAGAAGGATGCGGACGATAATCTCCTGATGGGATTCAATGCTTCTCTGGAGGTTCTTACGACGAAGGAGTTAAAGGTGACTGGTTTGATTGGGCACGCGGTATCAATGAACAAGAAATCTACATCCGTCGGAGAAACAGAGTGTGGCATAGGCAACACGTGCTCCTGGAAGATGTGTGGTATCGACCCGAGCGCCAGCTACGGAATCTACTTCGAAATTGCTAGTCAAGGGGGCCCTGCACAACATCAACAGACGCCTCAAAAGGGTATGATGCAATTTCTCACATACTACCAGCACTCGTCTGGTCAGTTCCATCTCCGGGTCACGACCGTCTCCCGGAATCTCAGCGGGCCAGCTGGAGATCCAGCTGTTGCACAGTCATTCGATCAAGAGGCTGCTGCAGTGCTCATGTCCAGAATTGCCGTCTTTAAGGCGGAAGTGGACGATGGCCCAGATGTCCTACGCTGGGTCGATCGGATGTTGATCCGTCTCTGTTCTCGATTCGCCGACTACCGCAAAGATGATCCATCATCATTCCGGTTGGAGAAGAACTTCACACTCTACCCTCAATTCATGTTCCACTTGAGGAGAAGTCAGTTCCTCCAGGTATTCAACAACTCCCCAGATGAGACCGCATTCTACAGGCACGTTCTCAACCACGAGGATGTCAGCAACTCCCTGATCATGATCCAACCCACTTTGGATTCTTACACCTTCGAACAAGATGGCAGCCAGCCTGTCTTGCTCGACTCGACTTCCATCCAGCCCACTCACATCCTTCTCCTCGATACCTTCTTCCATATTCTAATCTTCCACGGCGAGACCATTGCGGAGTGGAGGAAGGCTGGTTATCAAGATCAGGAGGGATACGAGAATTTTGCTAGTCTCTTGGAGCAGCCGAAGGAGGATGCTAGGGTATGTAACCTGCAATCTCTGCTGACTGCACTGCTAATATGACTTAGGACCTCATCACCGACCGATTCCCTCTGCCGCGTTTCATCGTTTGTGATGCGGGCGGTTCTCAAGCACGATTCTTACTCTCGAAGCTTAACCCATCCACCACTCATACGACGGGTGCATACGGCGGGGTGGGTGCGCAGAGTGCGCAGACTATTTTCACAGACGATGTCTCTTTACAAACCTTTATGGATCACCTGATGAAGTAAGTGAAAATTCCGTGACCCGCGTTTTGGTGAGAAACGAAGCTAATCAGCATCAATCAATCAGACTTGCGGTGAGCGGGACAAACTGAGCGGGCTTTGATGTAGCGATTTTCAGGAACGGAGGAGGTATCCATCCTCATGGCGAGCTGAATGAAAGTATATCTCTGGAGATGGGCGGAACGCAAATGAGCGAACATGTATGAAATAAGATGGACAGACAGTAGCCCAATCGAAAGTTCCAGTTTCCCAATTGAATGCGGGATGGAGAATAAGACTAGATCGTGTGCCAACCTTTATTTGAAATTAACTACCCCTCAGGAAGTCTAAGCGACCTTTAGACAATCCCCTTGAGTTATCCAAACATAAATCTACAGATTAAGACTTCTATAAGTTTTAAAAAGCAGACTTGTTTCGCTGCTTCGTGAGACCGTGGGCACCTACCTTTCTCCCCTTTCATCGTCGTAGCCGAGGGCCCGCCGTAGCCTCGCAAGCCTCGTCAAGCCGTTTGAGGCCTTTTTGCCTGAGGCCATTTTCTCTCTGCGCTGCGGTCTAGCCTACGGCCGCCGCTAAACCGCGCCCGGACTAGGGTAAGGTTTTCCCACAAAGCGATTTCGACATTTGAGAGAAATTGATTTGAATCTCCCCCCCAAGACCAAGTCCATTGCCAACAACCACGATCGAGTCTATCTCAATCAACCGCCAACATGCGTAGGTTAACTCGATGGCATTCTGAAAATATCTCATACTGACATTATTTTTTCTCGCAGCCCCAAAGATAGACCCCAATGAGATCAAGGTGATGTGAGTACCAGATCCTGCACCTGTCGACCTCGATCGAAAACCCTCCACGAAACAGATGACAGCCAACCCTCCCCCGCTGAGATGGAAGCGCTGACTTTTTCTTTTACAGCCACCTCCGGGCGACTGGTGGTGAAGTCGGAGCATCCTCTGCTCTCGCTCCCAAGATTGGTCCTCTCGGTCTGTCGCCGAAGAAGGTGGGAGAAGATATTGCGAAGGCAACTGGAGACTGGGTACGCACACACCTGCCAGAGAGAGAGTGTGAGAGAAATTGGGATTCGGTTTGGCTGATTTGATGAATTCGTTTTCGAAATTTGCAGAAGGGCCTCCGTGTCACAGTCAAGCTCACCATCCAAAACCGTCAAGCTGCCGTCTCCGTCGTTCCCTCCGCCTCCTCCCTCGTCATCAGAGCGCTCAAGGAGCCCCCGCGCGACCGGAAGAAGGAGAAGAACATCAAGCACAGCAAGTCCATCTCGTTAGATGAGGTTATCGAGATTGCGCGCACGATGAGATTCAAGTCGCTCGCGAAGGAGTTGAAGGGTACGGTGAAGGAGATTCTCGGAACTGCGTTCAGTGTTGGCTGCCAGGTTGATGGAAGAAGTCCAAAGGATGTCAGCGATGACATTGAGAGTGGAGAGATCGAGAGTAGGCCCCCCCTCCCCTCCACGCTTCATTCTGCTACGAGCTTGTTTGTGCTGATACTGAGGACAGTTCCGGACGAGTAAATGAATACTAACGTCTTTCTTTGCAAATTGTATCTTGGGCTCCATACTTCGCAATAGGGTTTGCAAGCAATGGCATCGATCCACAATCCAGTCTCTGTCTTTTCTGCAACATCTGGTCCTCGTGTTCCAGCGATATCCACTCCCCCCCACATCCCCCCTCATCCCCCCCTTCCCCGACCCCTTGCCAAACACTCTGGCCCTTACCTCCTTTCCCTTGTGGATCGGTTCAATCTGTGGTATAGGCCTATTTTTGGAGCAAGGAGATTGAATCTCGTCCGATTACTCACCGCCGCATCCTGTCCTTCGGGCGTGGATGCAGAGGTCCATATCTTTCTGGTCAACATTCTCTCAAATGTGATAGTGATCTTTTCTCTCCCCTCTTCACTCTTCCTTTTTACTCAAAGCAGGTGTCCCATGCCTACGGAGCAGGTAGGTTCATATTGGGGTCGGTGGAGCAGGTGTGGTGGCATGTGTCAGACCGTTGAATGTTCCCTGCACGAATATTACTATAACTGCAGGGGTGCTGTAGCTATACTTACTCGTACAGTATTTTCGTTGGGGAAATATGGAGTATTCTTCGACACTTTGACAATTGTAGCCCGATTTCAATATACTTGTTATTGCCATATATATCACCAACTTATTGCGAGAACTTTCCAGATAAATCTGTGATAAATCGGTGACAGAAAATGGCTGGGAAATCCAGTCAATGCGTGCGAGCTGGCAAAGCGTACAAGGGGTCTTGTCATCACAGGGAATAATATGTGCATGTTGCTGGCAATCGAAGTGGAAGCGCCCTCGCGTCCCTTGGCTGACTGACACGCCATATTCTCATTGGTCTCCATGCCGCGAACGTCAATCCTATAGTATTTGCCAACCCGACATCAGCACGGCCTAATGCCCCCGGACTCACCATGTCTTTATTGTAATTTTATAAACCTGCGTTGACGAACTTCTTCATCCACCTTTGCTTCTCTTTTTTCGCCCTGATATAGGTCCGAACAAGGCCTTCAACGCGCGGGTTTCCTCATCGTCGAGTGTCCCCCGACGAGGAATCTTCGACGCCTCCCCCCGCGCTCGAGGCTGCACTGCGACGAATCCTGAATCCTCCTTCGACGAGGCCTCGTATCGATTATTTCTACACACTTGGGGAGAGGCAGGCGGGATCTGGAGATGCCCATTGTGGGCTGTGGAGCATCGCGAGCAGAGATGATCAACCCAGGAGACATTCTCCTCCTTCGTGCAGGCATTGGCACCTCTCGAAACTGATGAGCCTACGACTACGACGACCCTCCTTTTATGTCCCAGTTTACAGCTTTATATACCCCCTTTGCGTCCTTGTTTTTGCGGGTGCAGCTCTGCGAACATGATTCCCCAGCTCGCGCATTACCCTCGACCCTTATCAGAGCAATTCGGCAGCCCAGGATTCGCGGTCCCTCCCTTCGAGCCTCTACCATTCCAAAGCCAAAGCCCGAGGAATATCGTCCCTTCATCATCACTCGCGCCACCCCACCGCGCATACCCGGTCGTGAGCCATGCCTTGCGTCGAAATGGCCTTGACCCTGGCAGCTCGAGCCAGATGTTCTCAAGCCAGTATCATGATCCTTCCGAGCACATGCTGCGGAGGAAAACACCAAGTGGCACGCTCGCCGCTGGTTACGATGGAACTCCCGTTCAGTGGTCAAGCAAGGGACCAGCACTGAAGCACGTTCTGCTACCTGTGTCCGCAGGATCATCAAGCCAACATGCGACGACCCCTTCTGACTTGATATCCGCTGAGCATCGGTCCCGACAGCGATCCAGCAGCTTGGGTTGGAACTACCAGCAACCAATGGTCAATACTGGCAATGGAGGCCTCTCTATGAACGGTGATCCTGGAAATCGAGCATATTTTCCACCTCTATCAAATCATACACCTAATGCTTTGGATCACTTGTCGATGCAGCAACCTACGGCATTTCATCCAAATAATGGCACGCATATCCCAACCGTGCTACAACCTCCCTATCAACCCTCTCCCAGCCCTACTGCATCTAACGATGCTGGGCTGTACGGTCCATATTGGCCAGATGGAAAGTTCGTCCCGTACAGGCCAGCTGCCTATCGTGACCAAGGGCATCACCAAGTAGGGTACGGCTTGGACTCTACTCGGGGGTTCCAACAACAGGCCAATACTCCCGTGGATATGCTATCACCCTTCCCACAGTCTTATAGTCATGATCCTACGCAGCTTATAAGATCGCCATCATTCCTCTCACTAGATACCGCTTCTCACCCACTTGAAACTGGTTTCGCGATGCCGAATCAGCTGCAACATCTCCATGACAATTCTACTCCTACCATCTACTCACCAGGTGCAGGTGGATCTCGAACCCCGACAGCTCAATCAACAAATAGGCCTAGTAACAACCACTTCAAGGAGAAGACGCTCTCTTGGGCTCACAGCATATATGTTGATCTTCTAGCCTTTCTTCATCAACTAAAGAAAGAAAATAGACAGACAGGTCAGTCTCAGGGATCTAGGACAATCTTTAAAAACGGTATTTATCCGAAGCCGCCGCGTCAACCGGCTTCGTCGTTTGGGAACTCGGAGTCGTCGACTTCATATGCCCGTACGCCTGGGAATGGCACCATGTTCCCTCGGAAACATATCAATGACATACCAAGTTCACATCGGAGCACTCAGAGTACTAGCTCCGGCTTCTGGCAAGGGAGCGCAGATTTTAGTGACATAAGATACCCAAGATTTTCCAATCAAGAGATGCCACACTATCTCTCACCTTTCCAGTCGTCCCACCATTCCATGAATTCCCCTCTAGGCAAAGCGAAGGAGGCTCTCGAAATGCTCACAACGCTTTGCGAAGAGAGCGGCTGGTCGTGGATTGACGGGATGTTGCTAGGTGGGTGTTTGGCATACGGCCTAGAAGAGTATCACAAAGCTCTGGAGTGGTACTCGAAAATCGTCGCCTTAGATCCAAAACATGTTGAGGCAATCTCGAATCTGGCTGCAACCTTGCTGTGTCTGAATCGGCGTGAGGAGGCTGAGCAGCATTGGTTACAGTCTGTGAAACTTCGGCCCAGCTATTTTGAGGCTGTGGAGCATCTCATCGGACTTCTGTGCGGAGATCATCGAGGCAACGAAGCTGTCAATATTATTGAATTTGTCGAGCGCTCCCTTCGATTGCCCAAGCCGTCGGAAGACTCCCCGGATTATGTCAGTGAGACGTCTAGCAATGCTGACCGGGAATCTTGCGGTTCATACAGTGCATCATCAGAGAAGATGACCCTCGATTATGATGGTGACGATAGGACGATCCGATCACCATCAGCTCGTGAGTACGAAGATGGTACGACGCAGGTTGGGTTCGGCTCCAGTGGCTACTCGGTGCCCGGTTCTGAGAATGGTCGAATTCTTGCGTTAGTCCATGCCAAAGGCAACATGCTGTATGCCCTCGGCGACATCGATGGAGCGTCAAAGGCGTTTGAAGAGGCGGTCTTGATCGCTGCAGGCAGGAGTCTAAATGGAATTCAGGGGCTTATCAAAAAGATAGTCGCTGTTCTATCACGGGATGGATTGTCTACTCTGCATGCAGACCCAAGATTGCCATTGCTCCTACCCCCGGATAAAGCTTTGCAAACCGCAAGGCTTGTATTCGCCAAGAATGGTGAGCTTCCAGGGCTTCGTCATGTTCCTGACGGGGTCGCCAAAAGGGCCGCTGTTTCTACCACGAGCAATTCTCTCCTGTCTCTTGCCAAGATCTTTCAGGACGCAATGTCAAACAGCAGTTGTGCGCAACGAATTTCAAGAATGCCCACGGGTATTGGCGATATACTAGCGCTATACTACCTCTCACTTTCCCTGCAGCCAAGCCCATCTACCGCCAATAATGTGGGCATCTTGCTGGCGAGCGTGCAACAACCCGTCTCCTATCGCTCGATAATGTCGAAAGACAGCTCCTCGTATGCTTCTATAGCTGACGTTGCCGGAAGCGGTGTTGCGCTGGCCCTTGCCTACTATAACTATGGCCTCAATCTGGATACAAGACATGCTCACCTTTACACCAACCTGGGTAGTCTCCTGAAGGACCTCGGGCAACTCAATGCCGCAATCAAGATGTACGAGCAAGCAGTCAGTTGCGATGGTTCATTTGATATTGCACTCGCAAATTTGGCCAACGCAGTGAAGGATCAAGGTCGCACAAGTGATGCGATTAAGTATTACAGACGCGCAGTGGCCTCGAGTCCAGACTTCGCAGAAGCTGTATGTGGCCTAGCAAATGCTCTGAATTCTGTTTGCGATTGGGCTGGACGAGGAGGTGTGATTCTCGATGGCGGCAAACATGATCGATGGCACGTGGACGATGCTGGAATGATCATGGAGGCAACGAGCGGTAGTGGTTGGATGAAGCGTGTGGTTGATATTGTCGGACGACAATTGAAGGAAGGTGCATCATGGGGCCTGGGTACACTACGAGACCAGGCTTTTCACCAATTCTTCCAACAATTAGAACTTGCCGACACAGGAAGTCGGTGGCCGCTCGAGAAGAGAGCAAGCATGCAAGCAAGTCTCGGTGCACTGGCTGGACACCGCTGGGAAGGAGCACGCATCCTTCGACTGATAGAGCGCGCCATCAAAAGAGCTTCGCATCGGTGGTACCACGATAAGTACATCCAGAAGAAATACCTCCCTGCATCCTGCTACCCGCGACCACAACTCCCCAGCGGTCTGGCTGTTCCGTCTGCCCCTACGGTCTTGCCCTTCCACACCTTTACCTGCCCACTGTCTGCGAAAGACATCCGCATGATCTCTCAGCGGAATGCGTTCCGGATATCGTGTTCGACCCTCAAGTCACCTTGGATGCAAGGATCTGTCTTCCCACCTCCTTCACCTCCATCGCCCCATCTCAATGTTGGATACGTATCTTCGGACTTCAACAATCATCCCCTGGCGCATTTGTAAGTACCCCATTTCTCCCCGAAGCCAGATTGAAGAATGCTAATGCAGCCCTACAGGATGCAGTCGGTCTTCGGTCTGCATAATCCGTCTCGTGCAAAAGCGTTCTGTTACGCCACGACGGCAAGCGATAATTCTGTTCATAGACAGCAGATCGAGCGAGAAGCTCCAGTATTCCGCGACGTCAGTACCTGGTCTGCCGATCGATTGGTCCAACAAATTGTCCAAGACGAGATCCACATCCTCGTAAATCTCAATGGCTACACAAGAGGCGCGAGGAATGAGATCTTTGCTGCTCGCCCTGCTCCTATCCAGATGTCCTTCATGGGATTTGCGGGCACTTTAGGAGCTGAATGGTGTGATTACCTCCTCGCGGACGAGACTGCTGTTCCACCAGACACTCTGCGACCCTGGAGACGAAACATTAATCTAGAAGATCAATTGGTAGACCAGCAGTCTTTTGAGGACGAGGATTGGATGTATTCGGAAAACATCATCTTCTGTCGGGATACCTTCTTCTGCTGCGACCATGCACAATCCGAACCACGCGAAAGTCAACTGTCGTGGGAGGATGAACAGTCTAGAAGATGGAAGATGAGAAAGGAACTTTTTCCAGGCTTGTCTGATGATGCTATCATACTAGGCAATTTCAATCAATTATACAAGGTTGGTCCTACTCAACAAGACTCTTATCTCTTGAATCGCTCTTATCCTGACTTCTACCAGATTGAACCGACCACATTCCGAACCTGGCTGCGTATTTTGGACCAGGTTCCAAAGGCAATTCTGTGGCTTCTCCGATTTCCTGACCTTGGAGAAACCAACTTGAAGCGGACAGCATTAGAATGGGCGGGCGAGAGTGTCGCATCTCGTATCTGGTTCACAGACGTCGCTCCAAAACATCAACATATATCGAGGGCACGAGTTTGCGACCTATTTCTCGATACTCCGGAATGCAATGCCCATACGACTGCTGCGGATGTGTTGTGGTCCAGTACGCCCCTTCTGACGCTTCCGCGATACAAGTATAAGATGTGCTCTCGTATGGCGGCATCGATTCTCAAGGGTGCTCTACCCAAGGGTGAAGAGGGTCGCAGAGCTGCTTCGGAACTCATTGCAAAAGACGATGAGCAGTACGAGGAGTTTGCGATAAAACTCGCGAGGGGCTTTTCCTACAGGATGCATCCCTCAGGTCGCGGGGAAGGCGTTGGGCGTCTCGGGGAGCTTCGAAAGTTGCTATACGACAGCAAATGGACATGTGCACTCTTCGATACAAAAAGGTGGGTATCAGACTTGGAGTCTGCTTATGAGGAAGCTTGGCGGAGATGGGTGGCAAACGATGGCGGAGACATATATCTGTGATCTCTTCACCAGTTGTCAAAAAGACCAGCTCTCTAGTTTTACGGGTTAGCGCATGTAGCGAGGAGTCAATTTTGGAGAATGTCTAGGTAATGGGCTTAAAAACAAGATGGGATGCGTTTGATTTTGGGAGGCGTATTGGTGTGCTCTTTCTATTGCTACCGGTGTTTTTAATGCCTGCTTGAGAGTGCTCGTCGAAGGATACCCATGGTCGTTGTGCAGCAGCACAGACAGTCAGTCGATTTCACAGTTGAAGACACGTTTTCGCTGCAGCTTATAGATCTGCGTTGCTCTTTTTCTCGGGTTCGGAAATTTTTCAGATGGCGAAGAAGGCAAAGGATGGTTTGTGACATGCATTCGTTCAATGATGGCATAGCAGGATAGACAGGTGGGCTTTAACAGCAGGGGCGGCGTTTGTATTGCTCGAATAGAGCAAAGTCCTTGTTCAATATTTATTATTATTACCATTTTAACATTAACCTTCTCCTTCTCCTTCCCCTTTCCCCTCTCCCTCTCCTTATTCTCCTAACAGAGTATTGGAACCACGCTCCTAACCAACGGCATTGCGTCTCTAGCCATACCAAGGCGAGTCAGTCTATCTGTAGTACAAAGATACCTGGTCCCAGCCAGCCACTGCACGCCTACCAGTGTTGTTTCTGCATTCCCTGGAGGCTGGTGCAGCCGTTCGGCGATCGTGGACGATGGTCTATGGGGAAGTCATCCAGAAGCCCCGTCCCAAGATGCCTGACCCATACATAGCTCAAAGCTCCCTGAAGCCCAGCCCAAGGATGAGAGCATCCGCAGGAAAAGGGGAGCATTCGATTGGGAGAACGCATCCCCGGAGCCACCACACCCAAGACGCTCTGGGGGGTTGCTTTGCTTGCATAAGAATTAATAATATAGCTCTCTTTTTCTTTTCAGCAGTCCGGAGCATTGCGTGCACCGTGATAAAGTGCATCGTCGAGGCTTGATTGGCTGTGCCGGGTTTACTGCAATCGAGATTCGCTCTCGTTGCGGGCCCACACGAGCGTCAAGATCCATCAATCCATCCCACCATCTGATATACCTTACCTTACCTAGCTAACCTAACCTAACCTAACCTAACAACCAAAAAAACTACCCGTAGCGTCGATGCGCGAGATGCGCAGCCGCTCCATAATCCAGGATCCGCGTGGACGACGACCGACCGCCGGCAACATACATACATACATACTTACAGCTTGCTGCGGGAGTTGGCAGCGCGCTGCCGGGCCCCCCTCCCCAAGCCCCAGCGCCCGCCGCCCGCTATTGTCAACGGCGCGCTGTCTTTTTCCCTTGGGATCTGACGCTTTCGGGGGGTATCGCCGGTAGTAGTGCGAGGGCGTGCGTGCAACGGGGGGAACGGGGAGAAGGGGCCATGCGAGCGATTCCCGAATCCCGCGGTTGAGCAGCAGCAGCAGCAGGAAGAAGAAGCAGAAGAAGAAGCCAGCAGAAGAAGAAGGAGAAAGAAGGAGAAGAAGAAAAGGAAGAAGATGCAAGTGCTCGAATAAAATGTCCTAGCTACATACAACCTGCTTCCTGCTTCATGGCATGGCGATCTCCCTCCCCTCTCAACTCCCTCCCCTTTTGTTTGCCTCTTAGCAGAGAGATCGCGGCCACGTCCCGGCTTTCCCGCTGTTCCCCCCCCGTGTCGAGTCCAAGTCTTTTGGTTTGCTATCACTGAGTGTGCTGTTCTGTTCCATGTCTCCCGCCGCGGTCAATTTTGCGATCCTCAGAATATGCACGGCATTCCCCTATTGATTCTCCTATTCTCCTGTCCTCCTTTCCTCTTGATTCCCCTATTCTATTGTCCCCCCTTCTCTTCTTGATCATGGCTCTCGGCCTACGTCAACCTATAGAGAGCAATACTTTTTTATTTCTTTTCACATGGCAGTTGCCGTACGGTCATCATGTATATAGAGAATTCGAAATTCTACCTCTGGCATTAAGCCAGGGATCAGCTATCAATGTCGATATGGTATTGTATACTCCATTGTTGAGAGCCGCAATACATACAGGATATATAACACAGCCATCAGAACGAAGTCGTGGAGGGTATCTGACTAAAGAAACAAATATACATGGTATTCCGTGGACATTGTCCCATGATCGTAAAGACACAAAAGAGAGGCGTAGCTCGTCAGTGAATTCTAGCAAAACCCAAGCAAAACCCCCCCTTCCAGTAACCCCGGTTGTCCAACGATACGCCCACGGGATATAGTAATATATAGGTATGTAAGGGAGGATCCGAAAGCAACAAAACAACAAGCCGCTCCATTTTAAAAACCGGTTCCCATGCTCAAAAAAAGATTCCAAATAAAATGCGGTCCTTTCTTTCTTTCCTTTCCTTTTCTCAAGCGAGAAGGGAGGATAGGTGCATCCTCGAGTCCCGTTCAACTAGTTTCTCCTGCCGCTCCGGCCAGGTCGGCAACTGGAGTGGTGGGAGCTGTATCGGGGTCGGAGGAGCCGTAAGCAGCTGTGCCCGTGGCTCATGGGGGTAATCTTGCGGAGATGAGGGGATGGCGGATTGTTGGTCGGTTCGCCGGTATAGAAGAGGCGGAGAGAGTGCGCTCGCGGTATACTTCGAGTCGCTCTGGAAGCGGGGAGAAAAGGCATGAGCTTGGCTGTCGGCGTCGAACAGGAAGTTACTCTGTCTGGAGTGCACCATCGGAAGGCTGGGCCTCCTGCTATCCTGTCTGGAGAGGTCCAGAGGAGGTAATTCGATCACGGGAGAGGTTGCGAGACGGGGCGAGACTGAAAAGGCAGATCCACTGTCCGAGACCAGGGAGGGTGCCCCGTCAATGGAGTCAGCTCTCGAGGCTACGGACACTGCTGGTGAAGGCAGTGGGGGGGCGTCCTGACCCCGTCTCGAAGAGAGGTTAGATGATGGAGATGATGAGATGGTGAGGCCTCGATTTTCCGCAGGTCTCGCCAACGAGAGGGATTGAGATCGCTCATCAAAGTTGCTGGCGCATTGAGGCGAGCTCTTCCGGCGAAGTACGAGACGGCGTCGCCGGTTCATGCTGCCATTCCACCAGTTCTTGACGGCATTGTCGCTTCTCCCATGGAGCCTCCGCGCGATCTCAGCCCACCGCTTCCCCATCTCACCAACCAGGCGCTCAATCTGGAGTCCTTCTTCGGGGCTGATGGGCTCATGGTTCAGCGTGGGCTTGAGGTTCTGGTGATATCGCTCCCGGCATTGCTTGGGTGACCGCGAGCCAATAAGTTGCGCTATTCTCACCCAGTTCAAGGCCCCTTGGGTGTGGACAAGTTGGACCAGGTAGGCGTCCTCACCCTGTGACCAAGGTCCTCGTCGGTGGGTTGTCATTGTGAGATTTGATAATCCAGGACAGTCTGGAAGCTAGTAGTGAAGAGCCGTAGGAGATCAGGAAGGCCAATGGCCGCTGCAAGGACGACGTAGGAGTCCTCGTGGCAACACGTCACTTCAGATCTGGGGTTCACTCGTTTGAGGGATCAAAGAACCATGCATATGATGAGAGGCTCTTTAGATCTGTAACTTGGCCCGAGAGCTGGAAGTGTTCTCCTGCTGGACTTGTGGAGAAGATAGCAAAGGTGCGTGCTGGTTACCTGCACAAGAAGATCGAGACAGTGCGCAGTTTAAAGGACCCCACGGTTAGGTATCGACGGAACAAAGAGATGGCGGTTAGGTGTGCACCAGAGGATTGAAGGAGGGGCTGCTCGGGAACTGAGGATGGTGGGGGATGTCTCAAAGGCGGGCCGGCAACGACACAGAAGAGGATGAGCGAGTAGATGGTATTTGAGATGCTGTGGGAGGGAGAGTCAAACGGTTAAGAGGGGAGAGTGAGAGGTGAGAGTTGAGAGGTGAAAAGGTAAATGGCGATAAGGCTGAGAGAGGGATGTGGAGGTGCTTTTGACGACGGCATGGCGTTGACGACTCCTCCCTCCTTGCCCTTGTCCGTGGGACGGTAGCAGTTCTACTACAGACGGGCCAAGGCAAAAGAAACCGTCCATGGCTGGCGCTGCGTAGATCGGTGCTCCAGATGCCCTTGGTGTTGGACCTTTTCCCTCTCCTCCCACGTTCCCCGGGCCAGTCAGTAGCCAGTAGTCCAGCTAGTCGGCGGGAGCTGGAGCTGGAGCTTGACCGTTGACAGGCTGCTCTACGAGCCTACAAGCCTGGACGCCTAGCCAGCCTACGGAATAAATAACACCACAGACTACTGAGGAAGGGGACGGGGCGCTCTGAAGGTATTTCTAATTCATCCCTGCTATCTTGCCCCGAAGAGGCAATTCAAGTTCCTCTTCGGGACCGCCAGCTCCAAGGAATCAAGGCCCCTCTTCAACCTCCCGCCGCCCCCCCGTCCTGTCTCGACCCAAGAGACGAAGGATCGAATCCGAACTTCCAACCGTCAACGATCGCCCCAGTCCCCTGGGAATTCTTCGAACTTGCAGGGAGCGCGATCTGCCCTGGGCCCCCTTGCTTGGGCCCATGCGCGGAAGAGATCTTGCACGAGGACTGGACGCTTCGGGTTTATTACCTGCTGATATATCTATTCGTGTATGTATGTAGGTGTTTCTTGCTTGATTAATTGATTGATTGATTGATTGATTGATTGATTGACGACATCCCCATCTCGCGGGAAGAAGAGAAGAGCCGTTATGGCATGTGGGGGTTGATTCCCTGCTGTCTCCCCTTGACAATAATCGAGCTCGTGGTCGAGACCAAGATGCCTGATGCTACACCATTGCCTCAGCTCAGTTCTCATATCCTACCCACCTACCTATGTCATCATCGTGATCATGCTTTGTACGCACACAGAGCCCTCCAAACCTCGACGTCGGATCTGGATCCTGGACGCTGGGTACGTGCATGCGGCGGGCACCGAAATCCACCCCTCGGGATTCCATTTCATCTGTTGTGTCCCTTCCCAGAGCCTAGGGACTATACACAGGAGGCGGTCATTAGCTATCGAAGTGTCCCGTGCAGATGCTTGGTATAATGTCACTTTTTTTTCTTTTTTTTCTGTCGGAGCAAAGACCTACTCGAGCCTATCGTTCAGCTCCGTGTGTTAGTATATTTCTCCCCCCGCCTATATTTACCTAAGCAGGTGGCACTTGGCGCCGTCCAGAGAGCTATGATTACTACCTACTACCTAGGTACAGGTGGGAGGAGCAGGCCTGACCCCTGTTCGATGTCGTGCACAGTGCACACACGACGGCAAGTCAGCATGTGTGGCAAAGCAGAAGAAGGTCGTTGAGCCATGCCGTCGGATTCGTGGTAGCACCCACATCCTTCAAGAGGTAACTCAACAGTCAGAGCACCGAGGGGAGGGAGAAGGGGGCGTCTGGTGATATGTAGGTACCTCCCGTAGCACCCGCACAAGGTCTCGGACACTGCGTGTGCCCACGATGCCTTTGCCTGGCCGCTGGCAGCCATTGGAGAAAAAGGCGGGAAGAAGAATAATGGTACTGACCGCACAGAGCATCAGGATCCAGCAGGACTGTATTTCCGTCCTCCGTATCAGTGCCAGTCAAAATCTCTCGGCGATGGGCGTGGGACATGGGATGAAGATTTGACTATTGACTATTGACTACAGTGTAGTCTGGAAATACCGAGGTCATTCAGATGCTCAGGGCCTTCTTGCCATCCCCGTAGATTCATCAATCAAGGTCGGGGTTGAAATTCGAGGCTACAACTCTTGAACCCCATCTCATCGCCGCGACCTGGTTGGAGAAGCTACGAGCTGTTAGATTAGGTGCAACGACCGGGTTAGCCAATTATCCACTCGACACATGGTTGACGGGGCAGAGAGGCAGTTTTGAAGGATACTGGGAAGTTAAGATAATAATAATACTCAACGCTTGGGATAAGAATCCAGGTTGCGCCGGGCGGCGAGGCAGGTACAAAATGATTTGGAATTCTCAGCAGAAAGCTTGTTCGCTTTATGATCCATGACCATGCCCATGTCCATGTCCATCGCCCCCCCATGTCGATTTGTCGGGTGAGGGCCGTCGGGGTGGGAGCAGAGTGGCTGCAGGCCCCGGGACGTGCTGATGTCGATGAACGGCCCGTGTCTCCCGTGCGAAACGTTCGCTAGAATCGAGAATTCCGGGAAGCGCTACGACCTGTCAGCCAGATCAGTACAAGTCTACCGCCGTATATGTAGACCGCGGAGTCGTCCGGTGCAGAAAGGCGAGAGGGAGGGGAAAGGAAAGTAAGTAGTAGAAGAAGACAGGGAAAAGAAGACCAAGGGTTGACTGGTTAGAAGAGTCTCGAGCCCAGCTCCAGAGAAGGCACAATATTAACCATAGGCTACTCTCATTAATTGTCACCACCATTACTATCATCATTGTCGTTGACAGATATAACGGTCTCCGGCCAAGCCCCAGCCGTGAAGAGGAAGGGGAACAGTCATGCATCGGGCATCTCGGGGCAGACTGCAAGGAGCCAGAGACAAGATGCTCACCGAGTATACAAGAGTACAAAGAATTACAAAAGCATAGAAGCCATGAGGGTCTGGTCCCGTACTCGTACTGTGCCTGGAGCCGGCCCTGGAGGTTGCGGGAGCTTGTCGAGAATCCTCAGGCTCCATGGTAGTAAACTCCTGTAATTGTACCCAGCAGGGTCAAGTACCCATGTGCCAGACGAGCGGGGTGTGTTTGATTTTGATGATTACGATCCTCAGATGACAGCGCCCTCCTCCCTCCTTGCGATGAGGCTCGCGCGTCGTCACATTCCTCACATCCCGAAGAAGAGCAGGGAAGATGGGTAATAGAAGGAAGGAGAGGAGAGCAGAAAATGCATCCGGTAGATCGTAGTCTGTAGACCAGAGCCAGCCCCCCGTGCTCGCCCTCCGGTACTGTGTTATGCGTTCGCGGCAGAGGAGAACACCGCATGCCGGCCATGTCTACCACGTCGTCGTCGCAGGAGTCTGTCGATAACTACACTCTGGAATCTTCACCGCAGAGATTGTATGCTTGCTCCAGCTTACCCTCATCGGGCACTTTTTAACGACCTGCAACTTGCTGCAACCTGCAACGAATCGATGTGCACGCCGATTGCTTGCGCTCCACCACGAGTCCACGAGTCCACGACATATGGATAATAATGGATCCTTTAGGGAGGACTGTCTGGACGAGGCCCATGGGATGACAGGTTCCGCTTTCAAAGTGCGGCCGGCGGGAAGATCTGCGAGCTTTTCCTTTCCGTGGAGCCAACCCTTGCGGCCGTTGTGAGATTGGCGAGTCTGTAGTCTGGTTGGAGCGTTGGGCCGCACTGGCTTGTCGGATGACTGGGATTAAACACAAATAATCCAAATACCGTCCTTGGGGTTTCCCTCGGGTTTTCCCTTGGTTCCCTTTGGTCCCTTTGGAATCTGGATTTCCATTATTCCCTTTGGTCCCCTTGGTCCCCTTGATCCCCTTGAGCCCCTTGATCCCTTTGGTCCCCTTGGATTCCATTGTTTTCTTTTGTCCCCTTGATGCCCTTGATCCCCTTGGATTCCAATATTATTCCCTTTTGTCCCCTTGAATCCCCTTGATCCCCTGGCCCCCTGCCCCCCTGGTTCCCGTGCTACTGTGCTGTACTCGCCGCGTGGGTTCCCTATAATACCGTTCAGTAGTGGTTACAGAGCCGTGTGTACTCGACTCAGTAGTCCCAGTCGTCCCTCAAACTCAGGCCCACCGCCCAGCGCCCACCAGCCACCGTCCCAGCAGTGAGACTCCTCGTGCCGCCGTGTCTCACCTCACGCACAGCAAACCTCGGCCCCGCAGTTGGATCCGTGTGCGATCATCCCAGCGCATCCATTGGTGTATTTACGAGCAGGTGTTTCAGGCCGGATTCTCGGATTTGGCATTTGGCATTTGGCGTGCCCATGTCGAGAGCCTCACGCGCCCGAGACATTCTCCCGCCCGCCCTGTCGAGTGACATGTGTGCTTAGGTAAGCATGGAGATAGCGATGGCGATCGAGATGGAGATCGAGCCCGCGGGGGGATGATACTCGAGATGGCGTTGTAACTTGTTGGTGTTGGTGATGGAGATGGAGATGGTGATGCTCACGGGTCAGGTCTGGCTCCCGCGCAAGATCAAGCGCCTGGGACTGTGCCGTCGCGACAATCGCTCCCATACCAGTTTGGCCAACTTTGCGAGTGCTGACAAGCAGATCCTCCATATCACCGCCCAAAGATACACTCTTCGTTCTTGTCTAGCGCAGTATTTGCAGTATTCTATCGAGCATTTCCTTGACTTGCTGCTCTGAATGAAGCCAGTCCCATAACATAGCACCTCTGGCATTTCATAACACAAAATTCCCGGGTTACCGATAATGGTGTGCAAATGGCATCTAATTGGTATCTTATCCTGCCTATATAGAAGTACTGCAACATCTAGCCTAAATCTATGCAATTCACTCCCTCGAGAAGAACACATGATGAATGTATAGCACAGGCGAGCTGCGTTCACTTGCTCCGTCACGCCAATCTAGATACTCTTCAGTTCCAAGAAACCTCTCATCGATCTCCTCCTTCCTACATTTACAAAACCTCCGATTATCGATCCTCATGGACGCCCACGGCATAAAACAAATATCATGAAATAACTCCAGGATGAGTGTCCACCTATAGCATGGATGTCCCTGGAGAAGCCCAGGACTAAAGAGAGCCTCATAATGAGAATATAGATGCCCTGCCGTATTGAAAAGGGGTATATGGGTGACATCTGTGACTGAAGAAAAGGGGGACAAACCCGGTTTCATTTGTCGAATCTGGGCACGAATACAAGCAAGGTTCCTTCTTCTTTGACTATAAACAGCTCTGTTTATTTCCGCTACGGGAGCCCTACTCCTCTTATCTCTTGGATTTATGGTGATGGCCTCGGTCTTCATAAGCTTCGGAGACCTAGCTCTGCGCAGCTGTGGTTTAATCTACCAGAGGAGACAGGTATGACGCTTGAGAGTTCCTGCTCTCAAAGCTAAAGCTTTCCTGAAATGGGTTGTCTTCATCAGGAGCCATTTGCACTAGAGGTGTTGAGTTTTGGTATTTATGTTTGGTGGTACTGTGGGAGACGGGGGAAATGTTGGCTTTTTGGGTTTTTTGGGGGGGGGAGAGGGGGGTTTCTTGAGAGATTGTTTTCCAGGGAGATTCCAGTAATGATACGTTATGGCAACAGAGAGGACTTGTCCTTTCAATTGCTGCTCGCCACGAGATACTTCTCGTGCGTGTACGGTGTGGATTCTTCTTTTTTTGAGTTCGCCGGGACTGTATGTCCACCTCAGTCCCACTATGATGACCTCCAGGGTTTGTGCGTGGGACCTTACTTCCTCGTCTTCCAAGGGTGAAGTAGCTGACCATAACACTAGCTGGGAGACTGGATATATCCAAGGGATGCAGGTAACCATTGAAGGGGTATCGACTCTAGATTTCCTACCGATGGCTCCAAACCCGGTCAGATTTCCATTCTTTCCCTCAGAAGCACGAACAGGAGCTGGCCTGGCTGAGTATCGTCTCCCAGATCATAACTTCCATGCTCTTTTGCTTTGCACAGCATTTGGCACTGCTACTGAAATACCTTCCCCCACACCTTTCTTCCATTCCACCTCTTGACAATCTTCAATGTCCACCCCATTCGCAAACTGTACCACCACGAAGTCGATTGGTTTCCTCCCCACGACGACCATCGGAGCATGCCATGTTCCCGCACCATACGTCACAGCCTGCGAACCTTTCGCCACGAAAGCCTTGATCCTCGTGAGATCGGGCAAACCTCGCCCGGGCAAGTCACCGCCGGTGGGACAGGGTAACGGTTCATCACCACGAGAGGGAGGTAGACTTGGAGCCACTATAACGAGATAGCGAGCCTCGCATACTTCGGACTGGGAGATCCCAAGAGGTATGAATGTCTGAGTGGTATAAGGATGCCGTTCGAGGATTCCCACGGGAAAGCGTCCCTCGGTATTGTTGCTACCTTGACTTGGGAGAAGACTCCGAGGCGCACAGACGAACATATTCATGACTGCTTTAGCCTGCTTGCCACTAGGTGCGGAGGCATATAAATCTTTCATGTGCGTGACATCTAAGTATTTGAGCGCACTGCCCTGATTTGCTTGGACTGCAGTTGGCGGAAGGACTTCAATATGAGGAGCGGGGACGAGAGACGGGACAGGATTCTCGATTACGGTGCCGAAGGCCGAAAACGCATCTTGACGCAGTTCTTCTGCCCCAAGAAGGATCTGGTCTTGAGGGGACTCGATGGTTATAGGCATCGTACCAATTAATGATGGTAAGGTAGGTAAGGTAAGGTACCTTACTGTAGAGCTGGAAATCGGTCACATGACATAAGGTAATTGGGTTCGCTTAGCTAGATATTCCCACACTGAGGATCCATTCGATCTTAATATAGAACAGCCGTACCAACAAAGAACTCCCAACACCCCACAGTACCTACCGCGGTAGGTAAGGTGAGGTATTACTTCGCGGCTCCATCCATCTACTTCGCGATTTCTTTCTATCCAAGCAATCCATCAACAAAGTAACCCCAGACACGGTACCTGTTCCGATCCTAAAGCCATGGAGTCGTCTACCTATTCTGATACCTCTAGTACGGCGTTTCTTGAAGGATTGCCAGACGAAACACCTAAGTACCGCTTCATCAATGTCCCAGATCTCGAAAGAAAGGTGGCGGTCCATGAGCAAGATCTTCTGGACAAGAAGACCACGAATCAGTTTGTTGTGTTTCTGGATATTCCAGATCGCGCTGTCGATCGGATCACTGCCGAGTCTTCACCCATCAGCCATTACCGCATCTTTTTTGCGCATAGCGCAAAAGTCCTTATTATCAAAATGACTTCCATGATACATGAAAGAGCTGCTGCCGTCTTTTCGAACCTGTTCGAGGCGAAGGTGTCAACAATGGGCCTCTCGAATGACTTGATTTCAGTGCTTACGGCACAGCAATCTTATAATGGAGTTAGAAAATGTCCTGATAATCAATGGGGATTACAGCCTCTACCTCAACATCAATTCGCCCCTTCTCTTATTCTCGAATGCGGTTATTCAGAATCGCCGCTGCCGCGACTGGCAATCGATGCCAGGTGGTGGTTAGAATCTTCGCAATCTCCAGTTGAAATGGTGATCACGATCAAAATCTGCCATGGGAATGCCAAGATTATCGTTCAGAAATGGGAGCTCGGTACTCGACGGCAGGGTTCATATTCAAATGCTCGAGCCAATTCTCCTCTAGCAGTCAAAACCGGTGAAGTTAGCATATCACGTCAAAACAATAATACAGTGGTCAGTGGAACAATTGTATTACCGTTTGATAAGATCTTTCGTCGACCACCTAATCCAGCACAACCTCTCGAAGGCGATATCATGTTTACTGTGCAGGATCTTGAAACAATAGCTGAACAGACATGGAGAATCCAGGGGTTCATGTGGTAAAGTTCCCCAAGAGTAAATGTCAGATTTTAATACTAACTTCAGCAGATTAAGTATTGCAATCATATGTACTTTGTTTACATTATCGCGCAGGTCGCCAGTGATGGGCGAGCTGTAGCAGATCAGTCTCATAATAGAGTGCAAGAGGAAATTCAAATTGCAGCAGTCAGCTTAGGTACCGTACACAGCTTTAATAGACTGTTTTGTCCCTCAGTCACTTTATATATTTTATTGTTTACAAAGATTGATTGCTAAATTATGTGCTGTATAAATAGGTGCCGTTTTTAGCGCAGTCAGCTTGCCGTTTGCTTGCTCAATGGAGTATAAGGTGGGTTGTAGTGACACCCACAACCTCTCGGGACATCGAGGAACAATTGAGCTTCGCAGAACAGAACAAAGCACGAAAGAAAAGAACCTTGGCATAATCTTCTAAATTTGAGTAATGCTCAAACAACTTTTCCTTTTGGTTTCCTGGTAGCAAGTCCTCCCTACTGGCATTCACTCAAAAAATATGGCATCTCAGGGGACCCTATTGTCTCCTATTGTCAAGCGACGAGAATTGGACTTCAATACACAACACACAACACACAACACACAATACACAAAGACATCATGACTACCCACAATTACAAATCTCAATGCACAACAATGGCAGCAAGATACTCAATTATATACATCGTTCTCTTGAACGTTCTCTTAAACAGCTTCCAATATATTCTCCCCAGTCATGTCCTTTCTTCTCCATACCTCATCAGTCAAGCACATCCCGGGACTCCCATGTCGACCACACACACAAGAACCATCTTATTTGATTGAATGCGTCATCGCAACCAATCTTTCACTTCAAGATGTCTGTCGATGTATCTGACGAGCTGCCGGATTTCTATGCCTTTGGTGTAGCACCTGACCCGCCGGAATCGTACAATCAGATGCACCCCGGCACGTATTCCAAACCTGGCTTACCACAGTGGTACCGCTTCTTTCGCCCTATCGATAGCATCCTCGAATCCTTCAGCCCAACCCATCAAGTTCAAGGAACTTACCCTCTGGGCATCTACTCCATCACCACAAAAGCCGATCAAGTACCAAACGAGCTTACGTCTAATAATGGCCATGACTCAGTTGATAACGGCTCAGTAGTCGATACTCGTGCCTCGCTCGATTCTGTTACAGCGTGTTTCAACAGCATAACCCACGATGCACCTGCATCTGGCCCCTCTGACCATGCTAATTCTTCTGACGATGTTCACGTATGCGATGAGCAGTATCCCGAGGGAGATGCCATCCATGACGATGCTCATACTTTTGATGGCACTCTCTCACAAAGTTCCCGCAATTCCAACGAGGGCGATTCCGAAGATGAACATCAGTCTGATGAAAATGGTCTACCATCTTCTCCTCCAGTACACGATAAATCTGCGTATTCTGATGGTACTCGCTCTGAGGTTTCCCTCGGTGCCGAGGAATCTGTCTACAAAGAGTCTGGCAACTTTGAGGATGCTCGCTCTGAAGTTTCCCTCGATGCCGAGGGATCTGTCTACAGAGAATCTGACATCGGCGGGGACGCTCACTCTGAAAGTAATCACGAGTCCGATGAGACAACCCATTTACCGGCAACCAGTTTACCATCTTCTCTTCCAGCACAAGGAGGTATGTCAAAAGCATTAGACTCCTTTACAGATATTTGCTAATGGATCACAGACTACTACCGTGGCTCCACTCGTCTTCTAGCGAAGAAATTAGGAGCAGACAAGATGTTACGACCATGGCCAGTAGCTCACAAAAAACACAGGCCAAGACGGGGGGAGCAAAACGAAGATGAAGATGAAGATGATGCTGATTTTTCACATATTGGACTGCAGGACCTCAGCCGAAAGAGGTCAATAGGCCTTGATGATAACTCTGACATCTATGGTGATAGTGATGAAGATCAAATGCCACCGCGGAAGATTCCTAGATCCAAAGGAAACTTTGTTACGAAAGCATCACCAGCCGCACATAGAACACTCGATGGCCAGATGATGCTACCAAAGGAGAGATTATCTGGGGGCAAGATGTTGCCGGGAACGCAAACATCATCAGATATGGAATCACAAGGAATTGATGAGGCACCAAGCGCAAAGAAATCCCCGAGTACCAAAGAGTCCTTGGGAAGACGAAAACGCGCATGGGATGCGGTTGAAGAGAGCGCAATCGAGCATGAATTACGAAGACTCAGAGATGAGGAAAAAGAGCAAGGGTTAACCGGGAAATCCGGGAAAAGAGACTCAAAGCTTTGGAAATACATATCAGATGTTCTTCTGAGTCGTCACCAAATCGATCGATCTCCAATGGCATGTAAATACTACTGGGGTCGACACGGAAGGGCGAAGACGGGGTTTGACGAAAGAGCCGAAAAAGATCCCACGCGTCTGGCCACTTCGGTTCAAACCAAGAGAGCTAGCTGATTGAAGAATGGCATGAGCGGATCGAAGCTTATTTGCTCGTTCTGTGGTTCTGGGCTGTGGTTTTCGCTCTGAGGGTTGTAACGTTTCCTTCCTTCCTAGTTATGTTTCTTACTTGTTTTATCAAGGTGTGAAGGGCTGGACCCTTTGCTTTGCTCCTCTACCACTTTCTCCTACCTTACTTTGCTGTCCAAATCAACAGCAATAAACAGGGTCCATACAGAGAGGGGCGATCGTAGTGTGGTTGACGATGGTAGATAGTTAGGGAAACACTACACTGCGCGCCATATTAGATTTCTTCTGTTCTCATCCCGCTACTTGCCTGTGCACCACAGTGGTATAGAGTACAGATTCTCGTCGCAAATAAAAGTGGCTGATGTGAATGTGACGTCCGGGATAATCGATATTTACTGTGAGAAATCACACCTAATATATAAGGTAGCTAGCCGTAGAAACAATTCTTCGGCCCGCTCGTTATTGCGCGCCCAGCCTCACTCAGCCTCATCTCAACATCAAACTTAACTCAATTCAATTCAACTCCATTCAATTGAATCCAGCCCTATGCTATAACCACCGCACCCGCTAAGTTTCTACCTCGAGTTCTCTCCTCTCCTCTCCAGATACTTCAACCTCGTTCTTCCCATCGAAGCCTATCATACCACACATACCATATCTTTCATATCCTTCCCGCCGCAAACCTCTCTGAAAAGATCTATCGTCAACTACGCTCACTTACACCTCCAAAACATCTCCGCAGATGCGCTGTCGTCGTCCTCAGTTGTAGCACCACCTCTGCCTCCCTGCAGAACTATCAAGCAACACGCGCAGAGTTCGGACACGCTTCCCTACCTACCCCACGACTTTTATCTACCCTGCGCGTCTATCATCTATTCTAAACCCACGGCATTGATCTCCGCATCCGTGGAGAAGGTTATATCGCAATGGCTACCGACATGGACATAGATATGGATCTTGATGTGGGTTTGGTGGACGAAGACATGGCTGTCCCGGAGATTGAGATTACGCCAGAAGTTGGAGCAAATGTCAGTTTTTTACACAGATGCATCGTTCCGCATGCGCAGTCCAAGCTGATCTTTTCTCAATAAGCCTGATCAACAAATGCCCAGCGAAGCAAAGCCTAACGATACCTCCGGAGAAGACGCTCTTCAACCCGCCCCGCAAAAGGTTCACATTCGTGGTTTGGACGATCTCACAACCAAGGACATAAAATTATTTGCTTCCGAATACTTCAGCGCCTATACACCGACCAATATTGAATGGATCGACGATACCTCTGCGAATCTAGTTTACGAAACACCAGATATTGCCCAGGAAGCTTTGCTCGCATTTGCAGCGGCCGAGATCTCAGATATCTCTCCGATTCCAATTCTCCAAACAGTCCCTGCCAAACCACCCCCTCTACATCCCCAGACAAAACTGGAGGTCCGATTAGCCGTCCTTGGAGACCGCAAGCAGGCAGGTGCACGTGAGAGGAGCCGATTCTATCTGTTCAACCCTCAGTATGACCCAGCTGAGCGCCGAAAGGGGGCTGGATACAGGGGAGAGACTAGATACAGAGATCGAGATGATGGCGGATACCGCAGCCAGCGATATGATGATAGAGAAAATCGAAAGCGTCGGAATGGGGATGCAGAATCGGGCTTTGATGCTAGCCTATACGACGACGATGAAGCCGCCCTTGCACATCGAGCAGCGAGAAAGAAGGCTCGCCGAGACTCTACATCATCGGGGAGCGATTACAGGGGGCAGAATTCTCGACGCGCTCGGTTCCGAGGAGCAGCAGGCAAAGAGTTATTTCCAGATCGTGTAGATAGGGATAGCGGGAGATTAAGAAACCGCAGCGCTTCACCTGTTCGTGGCAGTGATGGCTTTGAAGAGACCGTGGAGTCCCGAGATGTCGGCAAGCGAAGACGAGACAATGCAGCGTCTAAGAACCGCGAAAGCGCCCAGACAATTAAAGCAAGACTTCGGGAGACGGCTTCCCCCAAGGAACTTTTCCCCCACAAGATAGGAGTTAGCCATCATCGCTCTGATGCATTTGATGCAGCGGATACCACAGCGGATTTGTTTGCGAAGCAGATGTCGGTTCCCTTCATGGATGGGAGCAGTGATCGACATCCCACCAATGACTCTCTTGCTTCTCGAATCTCCCGCAGGCCTGATTCTGAGCTGGGCCGACTGAATATTCGAGGAGTAGCTAAAGCTTCAGCAACCCAGGATTTCACCATCAAAGGAATAGCCCCAAATCCTGGAGTCAAGGAGCTCTTCCCGTCTCGCGGCAATGCTGGGAAAGAGCTATTTGCGGAGCGGCTGGAGGGAAGAGGGCTTAGGAGGCAGAAGGCAGAAGATCTGTTTTATTGATCCACTGTTGAGAAACGACGTTAAGGGGGGAGGGTAGAAAAGAGGACGAGCTCGTGCACCCAGGGCAGCTTGTGGGAGGATAGAGTGAGCTTTCATCCGTGACGGGGGCGTTGGATATCCAGATACCATTAAATCTCGGCGTTTGCGACCTCTAGTAAAGGTCACAGCTCGCATAAATAGAAGAAGTACCAGACGTCTTCAGCTGTCAGTAGGCACTTGCACGAAGAATGACGAGACAGCTTCGCGGGGACCTTCGTATGAAGCATGTCCGTAGAGGTCGAGCAGTATATATTTCCCTTTTTGACATTCGCAGTACCTTCGAATTCTGCAGGATCCACTTCCGCACTCTAAAGACGATACTAAGCATATAATTAGGTGAACATTTTGTTATTTTCTAATTCCTCCCTCTCGTTCGGTAAGACGCTCCTTCTTCCCATCCTCCTCCTACGCCACCTCTTCTCTTCTCGACCCAACCTGTCTCCCCACCTAAGCCACTAAGCCGTGGAAAGCAACTTTCTTTCTTGATTTCACATCTCGCCATATGAGTTCATTCACTCCATCGACTGGCTCGCTCTCGATCAAACCCAAAGACAAGATGGACAATTGGCTCCGGCCAGTCTTTGCGCGCAAGCAAACTCCTATAACATCCACTGATTGCTTTGCTAGCTTCAGTACCGATGACAACAGTGAGGCACAGGAAGCCATGTCGAGACTTCGACCGACCTCTCGAGTCTCGTCGCAGGTCGGGTTTCGTCCAAGCTCACCACCAGCAAGCGCCGCCGACACGTTCCCAAATATCCGGATTCCAGATAAGGTTTACTACAACCCGTCTTCCAACCAGATGGTAGAGATATTGAAGGTGGTAATGATGAATCAAAGCGCGGTGGATCCAGTTCCAGTTCACTACAACTCCTGCATCTTGCATGTTCTGGAAGCATACCATGATTTGCAGATTCAGCTCCACACGATAGAAGACGCCATGGAATCCTTGAAGCAGCGGCATACAAGAGACATCCAAGAGTTTGAAGAGATGGCAAGTGGATGGCATACGAAAGAGCGGGATTACCAGGCTGAGGTAAAGCGTCTGGAAGTTCTGCTCTCAAAAACAGAGGGGGGGATGGAGAGCGTATCGATCGCGAGATCTGACAGCCTCGTTCATGGGTCAAAAAGAGCTTCAGATACCATTAGCAGAGGTATTGGCACGATCAAGGAAAGGAATGCGTATCCCTGTCGTGGAGATACAGGTGAGCCGTAAAACTGCTGTTTTCTCTCTGGGCTGACACTGTATCTGCAGATTCCATTACTTCTAGAAGGGCCACAGGTGTCACTCCTACTCTAGATGGCGCACAGTGTAAGACATTATGATATGGAAATCCTAGGAGTCAATGAATATCTTTGCTGATATTTTCCAACATACAGTAGCTCGCCCGTTATCCCAGCCCAAGAGCAACAGTGGCTCAGGTACTAGCGCTTCACTCCAGGATTTCCAAGGCAGGGCAGATAGAAAGCGTGCAACAATTACCGCCCATACTAGTAGCGGTTATTCACATATCTCGGATCGAAGTACACAATTTGCCCTATTTCCCATACCAAAAGATGCCCCGCAGGAAGGGTTTGGAACGCCAAGGCTTAACATGATGCAGCCAGAAGGTCTAGCAGTACGAGAGCAACAACTTGGCAATACCTTTGGCTCATCGACGGCCTCAAGTATAGTTTCAAGTTACTTGTCAATGAATGAGGGTCTGGCACCTAAAAATATTGGCCAAGGTCTTGGACTTCGCCTTCATGACAAGCCTCTCCCAGACATCCCTCTTAAAGCTGCGGACAGAGCAAGACAGGTTACAATAGATAGGTCCTTACCCACGGAAGACGGCTCGTCAACAAGTCTTGTTGGTCCACGACAAATGAGGTTCTCCTATCAGCCTGGTGACGATGCAGATATATTGTCCCCTAAAATAGTAGGACATCGGGCAAAGAGACAAACATTGGACGAACAGTTAGAACGAACAAGTCCGAGTGGCTCTGCATCCAGATCGAGGGAACTTCTGAATAGCAACACATGCGAACCGAAATACCCACCGCAACAATCAAAGTCAATATCGGCAAAGTCGAACTCGAAACCAAAACCGCCAAGTACAGGAAATCTACCCTATATTCCAAAAGACATACAAGGCAACCACTCCCTTTCTCGTGGGGATTCGGCGAGTAGCGTTATCACAGCCATAAGGCACAACTCAGACCACAGCAGTGCTAATGGCTCGCTAAATAACAAGGAGACTGGGCGACGGAGGTTTAATCAGAGCAGCAGCAATAATAGTAGCAATGACGCTATAGCTGCGGCTGCTAGAGCACTAGCTAGCACCAGAAGTCCGTCCCGACAGTCAGGACTGGACTCGGAGTCATACGAGGAAAATCGCGTCGATGCGAGAGCACAAGCCAGCAAAGCAACCTTAAACACTAATACAAGCTCAAATTCAGCCACCAGCAATGTTGACGGGAGGTCAGCCGGCCACCAGGAAGGCTGAGAGGTGGGGGGATTGTCAGAAGCACTCTTGCCAAAAGGAAGTCAAGCACTGTTGGCATAGATTTATCGAGAATATCCTAAAGTCAATGGAAATGTCGCACAGCTTTTCTAGCGGTGCGATGCACTTCTTGCTATGAACTGACTCCTGTCGCGGAGAATAAATCAAACCTGTGCTATCTGTTTTGCCCTGGCATTCCTCCTAAACCAACAGACTTTATATCGCCTATCCCTAGTATCAGCACATCCTCTTTATTACTCTAGAGGTCTAGACCACACGCGAATCACCGCATGAAATGATTTCTAAGATCCACACTTGTGTATCTCTGTATATAATCCCCTAGCTTAGCACGCCCAGCAAACCGTTTTCTCTCACTGTCCCAACCACATACGGAAGACACGTCAAGTTCTCAGTCTGAACTCAAATTTCGAACAATAACGGCATCGAGCTTCAAATCACAGACTCAGATCCTCATCCGGTATTTCAATCTAAACAACTCACTGGTCTACAACCGACCACAAGAGCCATTACTCCAACCACACGTGTCCTACTTATTCACTCTGTGCCTAAGCGCCGCTTGATCAACACAACCTAGAGCCAGAGCCCTTTCAGAAGCAGAGGGCAGGGCGAGAAAGTGGGCAGATGAACAGTTGAAGGAGGCAGATGAGAAGGGAATCGACAGTGTATCTACAACTTGGAGAGCAGTTCGCCATGTCAAAGCTGTGAGAATGGGAGAAACTTTTGGAGAAATGGAGCCGTATCCATTCAACAGGTACTAGAAATAGGTTGTTTAGTACTACCCCGGAGATAATATGGACAAGGACGAGCACTCTAGAGTAATTGGGTCAGGTCTATGCCTATTGATTTTAGGTATCTTAGATCAATATTCTAAACCACCCCTACCTAAGATAGCTAAACATAGAGTAAGCAGCCACCCCCACATAGCTAAATATAGCGCGCCTCACCTTATCTCACAGCATCAACAACACTACAACACTACAACACTACAACATCACAACATCACAACATCACAACATCACATATTTCCACCTCTAGTGTCGCTGGAAATATCTCGTCCCTCTTACCCTGTAGGGACCATTTGACTCGTCGACTCTTCCACATTCCTCACATATATCCGCATAAGTTAGACATCCCAAAGACCGATGGCAGCAGCGGCAACCAACACTTCTATATTTCACCTTTTCACGAGCCTCGCTCCAGAGTTACGCGACCAGATATGGCGTGCCGCCCTGCCTGATGAAGTCGGGCCAGTCTTGTACTTCTACAAAAAGGGTGGCTGGTGTCCTCGGCGCCTATTACCATCTGACGAGGGATATGACCCCGAGAACGACGACGAGTCAAATGTGAATTTCGAGTTCCGTCATGATGTGTTAGACGCTGTCCAGGTTGAGATACCGTTATTCTTCGTCAACCGCGAGGCTCGTAATATCGCTCTAGCATGGATTCGTGAGCATAATATCGAGATACGCGTCTACGCCCGCAAGCATGAACAATTACAGTCTCCTGTTTTCGTGATCCCTTTTGACTCAATACATAATGCGTTATATATTGCACTTGATAAATGGGACGAGTTTATTTGCGAGCCCGACGATCGATGCTATCAACCGGATATGGTAGAAAAGTTGATTCATGTTCAAGCGGCCGGCATCACGCGTATCGCTATGCCCGAGGCGCTGTTTCGGGGTGAGGGTGAGGTTGCCGCTGCATTAGCCGAGTTGATAGTAATTACCATTCCATTATCTTTTCTTTATTTGTGTTTTTCTGACTTGCGAGAACTACAGGATCGGTGGTTCGGCTTAGTCGAAGTGTTATTCATTCTGGTCGACACGCCGTTGGATTTGCAGCCTGCGAATAACGGCATGAAGATACAGCCGCGATGGAAGTTAGAGAACATAGAGGGAGGGACGTTCTTTTGGAATCACGATCGTGGCCGCTTTGACTATAACGAGAGCGAGTATATTATCGACGAGGCTCTGTACAAGCTGATAGAGGAGATCAATGAATGGCTAGGCAAAGAGCTTGTCAAGAACAGCATCCGCAGCTTCGAAGTCCGACCTGTTTTTGCCGTCAGAACATGAACGAGGCTTGCTAGCAGGTTGTTTAGTTGGTTATTTTATTCAAGGGTCGTTTGTCACGGGATCAATACACTTAATGCAATCGCAAGAACTGGTGTATAAGGTATTCAAGAGAGTAAAGGTAGCCACTTTGCTAGATCAGTATCAGCACTAGTCGTATATATCAAGCAAGCAATCACTTCACTTACAATCTCTGCCATAGATGGCAGCCATAATGCATGGTCCCTAGACCTATCTATACATGTTGTATCAACAGAGTCATGCCTGGATTACTTAGATTGTCGATTCGGTAACCTGCCTGGCATGTACCTTAGGTACAATAACACAACAGACAAGACAACGTGCGAAGGGATCACGGCAGACGAAAATATATATAGCGTAAATCTTCTCGTTACTGTAACTTTATAATAAGCCAAGCGTTTAAATCAATTTTGTAGAGAAATCTATAAATGATCTATAATATAAATTTACTTAAAAAATGATTTTTATACGCTATTTGAATATTTCCACCTTGCTTAACCAGAACCACTGCATGAATCCGAAGGAGCGCCAGCCGAGAGCATAGCATGTTCAATACAATTCTTCTGCCAAATCGTCGACTGCCCTGAAGCATGCCACTCATACGGCTGGGTGTCGCTCACCGTGAGATTTTGAAACTTCCACTTCGTGATGGCCGAGCACCCGCGGAGTTGTGTCAGGAGCCCGTTACCATCAAGATAACCGCCACCAGCATCAAGCTTACCCTCATCCCAGGCAAAACCGTAGATGTCGAAGCTATCCAAGACTGCCTTGTATTGAGTATGGCAGCTTTCGAGCGGAGTTAGAGCTGGTATTGTGGAAGAAGCTGCTACAGCAGCAGAAGCTCGTGAGGCAGATGCAGAAGCTTCTGCGGCAGACTGCGCTGACGCGACTGATGCTGTATAAGCAGTGTAGATAGAGGTAATGGTCGAGATGACCTTGCTTACACCCGCGCACGAGGCACTCTCTTTAACTGCGTAATTAAAATATGACGAAGATTCGCAGGAGAGAATTAATCCGTTTAACTGCGTTTGTGTAAAAGCAGGGTGGGCTGTAGGGGATGGTGTTGGCGGTGTTGTATACAGGCATCCGCCACCATAGAAGTTATCAGTTGTGGCTGTCATTGCGAGGTAATAGCCAGTCATACCCTGACACTGGCACAGTGGAAATTGCGACGGCCCGGCGTCGGGATCTTGAAATGGAACGCACTTGTTGGTAAACGTAGCGGCTTTACTGGTCGTCTTTGACACGACGGTACTGCGAGGTCCTGATGATATAGCTACTGTGGTCGATGTTGACCTCAAGCTATTGAAGCTGCTGGTCGAGGATGGATTGTAGGACACGTAGAGTTCGTTGGATGACCAAGTGATGTACGGGTCGGTATTGTCAGCCACGGCCTCCGAGAGAATGGACTGCTTGTAAGGTATCAATCCCTGATCGTTTGTATGTGTAAGTCTGTAGATTGGTGAAGCTATTCAGACTGTGCTATATACAGATTAAGCGAACCCTAACATGCCTACTACCAAAAAGGAGCTGTCCGTAGCGACGTGTAAAGGGATACAAGATGTGAAGGGGTAGAATGTCCAGCGTGTTACGGTCCCTAAGTAAGGCCCCTCCTAGCCTAGAGGGCGCCACACTCTGGCCAGCGGTGCGACGATCCAAGAGCCCACAGGAAAAAGGGCTAGCCGTAGCCAGGAGCCCACAAAAAGAGCAAATGTAGATGCTTGAGTACGCTTCAAACCGTGCCGGCAGACGAGGTTCTGCTAGCCCGTACTACGACTCGGAGGTGTAGGGGGAGATGCTTAAGTACGCTTCAAACCGAACCGGCAGACGAGGTTCTGCTAGTGCGTACTACGACTTAGAGGTGTAGGATATATTTTACGTGTATCGCTACACGGAGACACACTATATCAAGGTATTGCTACTATGTAAGGTATCAATCCCTGATCGTTTGTATGTGTAAGTCTGTAGATTGGTGAAGCTATTCAGACTGTGCTATATACAGATTAAGCGAACCCTAACACTGCTGCACATCGTACCAAGACGGAGCGGCAGTGTCCCACGCGAGGAAATTGTCACCGACGGGCCCGACCGTAAGCACCGCATTGTTAGTCGTTGACGATCCGGTCGGCGAGGCCGAGCAGGCGGTTACAGTTGAGCACGAGAGGGTGATGGTGGACGTGGACGCTGTCTTCCCACCTGAGGGGGTAAAGATGGAGTATGATGTGTCGCAGGTGCTTATCGTCCGCGTCGAGCAAGAGCTGCTAGAGCTGCTTAATCCACTAGATTTGGATTCTGTATTGGCAGAAGAGGCAGAACTAATGAATTGGCTAGTGGGCTCTGTTGAATCATAACTAGGATCTCCATTGGGATCTAACGTTATCGATGGCATGTTTATTGAAAATCCCGGAGGAGGTTTCATTCCAGGCGGGGGAGGAGGAATAACGCCGGGACCTAGAGAGAATATTAGCCTATCTAGAGAATACAATAGACTGTCTTAAATGTAATGTGTGAACATACCTTTGATGCCGGGAATAACAAAACCAATATCTATACCACCTCTAATATGAGGACAGAACCAGCAATAAAGAGAGGGAATGATTGGCCACCCATGAGAATCATGGGTGGCCTTTGTTACTCCTGATGTTTTAGTAGGTGTCACGGTACTCCAATTAATTGGAATGATTGCAAGGGCCGCACCAGTTGAAGAAGTCGAGGGAGGTGATGTGCTACCAGATGGTGGAAGAGTCAATACTTGGGTGTTTCCTCTTGATGTCACAGTAGTGGTTATACTCGGTCCTGTCTCACTTAAAGACTTCGAGGAAGACGATGACAAGCCTGATGATGAACCGGTGCTCGTGGTAGTAGCTGTGTCGTTTGTCGATCCGCTTTTGCTGGAGGTGGAAAGGTTACTGATAGACACCTTGCCTGGGAAACTGGCGTCGGAATTGCTGGCACTGCCCTTGGTTACCGACCCCGAGCCAGATTTAGATCCGCTGCTCTTGCTTGAACGCAAGATGATCCCACTGGACGACGAGTTGTGGCCACGAGTTAAAGTGCTGAATGTGGTCAGTCCGCCACTAATAGACGTCTTGCCCGGGAAGACAATAGAGGATTTGTCCACACTGCTCTTAAAGGCCGTACAATAGTCATAGACGACGGCAGAGGTGTCCGAGGAGGCTACATCAGAGCAGATCACATTGCTGCCGATCGTGTATTCCTGGCCGGTTGAAGTCGTCGCAGGTTTTTGTATGACTATTGCATTATCCTTAGGGGCGAGATGAAGATCATCCCGCCTCGAGCCTCTGGCAGCGGGAAGGACTTGGAGCGATCCGTCACTCATGGGCCGCTGAGCTGTGGCGCCATCATTCGGAGAGATCATCCTTGCGGCAAGGCCAAAGAATGCATAGCTATCGGCATTGTTCACGCCCAGGTTTACTACCGGACTACTCTTGTCATTTGGGTCCAGCTTGCCATCTTTAGTGGCTAACTTCACACAATTCTTCCAACCTGCGAACAGTCAAAGTCAGCGGTTTTGGACCTTTTTTGCGGGTGTTTCGGGGTAAAAGGAGTGGAAGTATGCAGGCAATATCAGAGTTATCAGCCGTTTTTGGCCAAGAAACATTCAGACATATCTCTGGAGTTCCTAAACAGGATGAAAGTTCTTTTGGGGGAGACAAGAGGAGAGGGAGGGGGGAGGCTTCTCTATTATCTTACCATACGAACCGAGCTTTCCACCACCTGAATCCACGGTTTCTGCACCACCCGGAATCGCGTGTGTCAACTCGTGAAGCAAGGTGTGATCGAACGTGGCAGCCACATCTATAGGAGTCCGAAATGGATCGTCTATCAAGCTTGAGAGCTTTTTCCAACCCCTCGCCAGAATAGGCTTTCTCCCCGCACCTGTCAATGCTTGAACTTTGGCCTTCTGTGTCTCCTCTAAAAACCCAGGACATAGTTGCATCTGGGAAGCACGCCTATGTCCGCTAGGAAAATTATATGTCCAAGCCTAGGCAGAGGTCAATGTCTGGGCCTGTATTATACCGCTTGTGGCTTAGGTACCTACTTGGATAGAACTCGAACTAAAGATGCTTCTGCTCTTACAGTCGTTATAGATATCGTCCATCGGCCAGGCCATACCATTGGTTCTGTCGCAGGTAATCCCAGGCTTCGCTATTTTGTCGCAATTCTGGTTTTTCGTGAAGCGACTATAGTCGCAAAATAGGACAAGCTTGTCAGCACCTAGGGGTGTATAGACGCCAGTCTGATCTGCGTTGCTGTTGGTAGGAGTTATGTCAGGCTGCCCCTGCCCTCCGTTGCTGTTGTATGCCAGGACTAAGTTGAATTTGCTTGAAACGGTGTTCCAATTGGCATTATTAGGGTCAGGGTTACCATTTGTCAATGCTTCAGCGAACATGAATTTGACGAGGTCTTTCTGTGCTTGCCAGGTGGCTCCGCTACCTGAAGGTGTGAGATGGCTCAAGAGATCGGATCCGGCTTGAGCGAGATCAAATGCACTCTTCATTCCCGTGATAACCATATCTCGATACGGGTCACAAGATTTATCCAAGACATAGCCATGGCTAGTGGCGGCGAAAGAGCCTAAAACAAGGGTTAGAAGGCCAGTGAACTTCATGGTTGAGACTTGAGTACAGTGATTAGATTCAAAGCGGCAAGTGTATATATACATACCAGCTGGCCATCCTCGTTCTAATAATACATTAAATAAATGAAAGGGGTAGAAGCGGCTCCTCAGCAACCGCTGGTGATAATGTTGTAATGTTGGTATTGTCGTGAGTTATACTACAGCTCACCTCAAGTCCAATGTTGGTCTTCTACGACAGGCGAGGCAAAGTAAGGTACCGCACCAACATAACACCAACATAACACCAACACAACACAGCCTTGCAGGCAGATCAAACGTCGCAGCCCCAGATCCTTCAACCCGCTGAAAGAATACACGGCATTTGTTTCGCTCACACGTCTAAGGTACTTAGTGTTGCGTGTCCCTACGAAGTACCTAATTACCAGGGTATCGTGGCCCTCGCCTAAGTAGAATTGCTACGTCTCTCGCTGCAAATCCCCATCTCTTCAACCTTCACGATATCGTACCTTTGACTTCTGTCATCCGAATTCAAATCCACATCATTACCATCACTATCTCTTCATAATCTCAACCTCAACCTTGCTCACGAGAACAAGATGACCGTTCTTCTATCTGGGAAAGACCTCAAGAAGGCGCCGAAATGGCGCCCTACAAACGTGCCCTCTCTGTTACCACGGAAGCGTCCACGGGCGTTGACCTGTCCACTTCCTGCCAAGACTGACAAGTCATGGAATCCATTCAAGAAATCCGTCTTACAGCAGACGTGTGATCAATCCCAATCTGGCCTTGCGCGTCTGCCAGGTGAAATCCGCCAGCTTATCTGGACCGAGGTTCTAGGCAGGCATTTGCTACACATCGTCTATGCTCCTCAAAGGCTTCTCGCTATTGACTGTGCTGAGGAAGTCGACGACGAGCTCGAAACACGCCATCATCTCTGCTGGGGGGTCACAACTGCGAAGGCTCCCAGCGGATCTTACCTCTATCCTCATTCCGATCACCCTGCCAAACCTGCAAACCTGCTTCCTCTACTGCAGACATGTCGGAGGATCTACACCGAGGTGATTTCTATACTCTACGAGGACAATATCTTTGATATCGGCAGCCTCCTTCCACTCCTGTACCTCCAGCGTTCTGTCCTGCCCCAGCGCCTAAACCAGATTCGCGTCCTGAACTTGACCTACAGCTACGCGATGGTCATCTCTGCTAGCCCGCTTATCTATGAAATCAACGAGTGGCGCGAGGCCTGCGATGTGCTCATGAGCTTCGCTGGGTTGCAGGAGCTCACGGTGCACTTCAAGAAGTCGCGCAAGGATTCCTGGCCAGGCGCGGATGGGAAGAGTCAGTGGGGGCCGCTGCTGGAGGCACTGACGCAGATCAACACAGCGAAGAAGAAGTTTGATGTCTTTCTGCCTTGGACCGAGGACGAGTGTGCTGAAGCGGCGAAAGAAGGCGGCTACCCGTTCCGGTTGATGCCAATGGCAGATGTGGAAGTATAGCATGTCACTCTCCTAGGCCTTTACTTGAACATACTTTAACTAAGCCCGCAAGTTTGTAAACTTCTGATCCGTGAAATATACAGTGGATAATACACGTTCACTAATCTTAAACTAAGGAGAGTTACTTTCTAAAGTGCTAGCATTCTGTGTTAGAGTTGAGATTCATCTAAAACTCAAGCTCTCGAGTGGTGCTCGCTTCCTTACCCCTAAAAAATAACAATTATAATATAACACACAGTCGTTACTAATCAAAGTCATCACAAATACCTTCTCGACTACTCTACTTTGCTTCCGAAACCAACCCTAATGCCTTAGACTTTAGGTTCTGCCGATCTTGCGATCTTACAGCGCTATGTTACTCTCAGTCACTGCTGTAATGACCAGGCAGCCACTGTCTTCTCAGCTCTACAACCACCCTTAATGACGTGCAGTTAGGATGGGCCACATAGGAAGACTAGCTCTTAAGGAACCGCGATATGAGGATATTTCTTTCCTTGGGTCATCGTTCCTGGACTGGCTCAAATTTGAAACCAAGAGAACAACCGTTGTATTACCGAAGGCGGCGAAGCGCTGTCTTTAATCACATCGGATGCTGTTGTTTCTAATGCCTGGGCGCTAGGCGAACGGTCGGCTACCTTTTCTTTTAGCAGAATTCGTAACTCCGCAGCTTCCTCTGAGAGAAAGTTGGGAAGATATGCATCAACAATTAACATTGGGGATAGCCTTGGGTGACCAGGTAGTCTCCTGTGCCTAGCGGTCTGCAAAGTTGGATTTGCGCCGTGCTTTATGAGAGTTTTGAGGGTTTGTGCCTAAGCTTTAGCGACCTCTCTCTAGTTCAAGTCGATTTCGTGAACTTCCGGCCGTCTTACATCCTTTCCTGTACCTACAACAATTTTCTTAAATCTAGTGTTTGTTTAATAACGCCCTTCCCTAGCCTGTAAAGGCACTAAATTTGTCCGATTCTTCTATCTAAGTCGTTATATTACCTACCTAACGCTTTTTCGTGTCGCTCTAGCTACTATAGCGGCTTCTACCCCTTAGCGCTCGATTCTTATTAAAGACTACCTTATAGGCTATATACGCTAGTAAGAACCCCCTTTACTAACTAACCTTAATTACTCTTTAAAGAGACAGTATATAAGCTTTAACGTTATAGCTCCTTCTTATCTTAATTTAGGTAATAGAGTACTAACTATAAACCTAGCGTCCTAGGCTATTAGAAGCTACCTTAACGCGATTAAAAGAAAGGTAAAGCTATAGTATAAGATTATGTACTCCTTTACTAATACTATAGATATGTTTGTAACATAATAGAAAGCGCTTAACGAGCGTAAGCTAGCTCTTAATATCTATAGTAAGATCGTTAATTATATCTTAACCTTAATATACGTAGACTCTAGTAATTTTGTCCTTTTATGCCTTAAGAGCTACTCTTTAGTATATACCTCTTTAACGCTAAAAACCGTTAGCTTTATAGATATAGTAAAAACCCTAAAAAATTTAGGGGTAGACATACGCCTTACTAAGTAGTTAAATTTTTTATTAGCTAGCTATACCCTTACTTTAGCCTTAAGTAAGGTTTCTATAACCTTATCTAACTCTAGAAACACTAGTAAAAAAGAGGATTAACGCCTCTTAGTCTTAGTAAAGAATACTATACTACTAAATTAACTAGAACCCTTTACTCTCTAGTAAGCCCTTTACTTAAAGATCTTAGGCCTTACTCTAGTGTCTATCTTACTAATTACGCCTATATAGATAAGGTAGGCTATTATACTAGTTAACCTTATAATAAGAGATCTTCTTATAATATAAGAGAATACTAAAATTATTCTCTAGACCTTTTAAGGTATAGTAGTTAAGTAACCTAAGACCTAGTACAACTATACTATACTAGGCGTCCCTTATATAATATACTAGCTAACTAGTAAGCCGGTTTATAATACTACTAAACTAGTTATAAAAGAGGTAATAGCCTAGACGTAAGAAACACTAATCGACTATAAGGCCTTTTAGTATAGCCCTAATATCCTTACTAATAAGACTACCTAGATTATCTCTTTCTTGTCTCTAGTACGCCTCTTCTAGCTCTTTAACGTAAGTAAGCTCTTAAAACTAATTAATAAGAAGCCTATAATCTCTAGGCACGACCCTAGCTACTAAGGCTTTTATAACCCTATAAAGTATACCTAGTACTAGCGTTATAATAACTATAGTATATAGGTTAACTAATACACTAGACTTACTAGCGTTAACTATACTTAGAAAGTACGCTATACTAACTACTATAGTCTCTTTCTTATAAGACACGACTACTACCTAGTAGCCTTTTAAAGAAAGAATAGTAGAATTATCTACCTTACTAAACAAGAGCTTAACGCTATCTATAGATATAAAGACTGTAACTTTTAGGACGCTTATACTATATAATCTTAGCTACTAGTACTATAACTTTAATCCTAGGCTTAAGGCCTAGAGGTTAATGTTATAGATAGCTAGGCAATAATAAGAAAGAGTAAGAGAAATAAAGACACTATAGCTACTAAGGTAGTATCTACGTCCTTATAGGCTTTCTTATAAGCCTCCTTATAGTTATTAAGCTCTACCTTATTATAACTAACAAGTAGCCGGCTAAAGTAAAGTATAGCCTTAAGAAAGAACCTTAATAAGGCTAACCTAGCTACTACTACCTTTAAATAAGCTAACGTAAGAGATATAGACATTAATACTATTACCTTATGTTAGGAAGCTAGTCCTAGTACTATAGCTTACGCTATACACGACTACTTAGTAAGAATAAGGACCTATAGGTCTACTAGGTAAATATAGCTAAAGGTATACTAAAGTATATTATAATCTTATATATAGTAGCTACTAAAAAGATAGACGTAGTATATATCTAAGAACCCTAGATATAACTAAGAACTAAGACCTAGAGCTACCTAAGGTACGACTACTACGTCCTTATTAATTTATAAGAAAGTAAGGACTAAGACTAGAGAGAGAAGAAGAGGCCTTACGTTATAATATATGTCTATAAAGGCGCCGACCTTAAGACATAATAATACTACCTAATCTATAGCTAAGACATAGTCTAGATTAACGTTAATAGCTACGCTATTCTAAATGTATATAGATAACTATAGACCTTAGAGGTTATTAACTACGTTACCTACCTACTCTCTCTAGTAAAGTACCTTATTAAGAGAGACTTTAACGCCTATTACGATATATTTAAGCCTAGGGCCTAGGTAGTAGATTAAGGCGTAGAGCTTACTTACTAGATAATAAAAAGTAGTATAGACTTTGTTAGAATACTAAGAGAACTAATATAAAGGGCTAGTCACGTCTTAGACCTTACTTTTTTTAACGTCTCTTTTATATAGACATAGATTAGAGACGATATATATAGTAGTTTAGACTATAAGACCTAAGTTACTACTATCCTTAGCTAAAAGGTAGTCTCCTTAGACTAGTACTACTTTTAAGTACTAGAAGTAGAGCTACCTAAGTTTATAAGGCTAGTTAAGAATAGTATAGTAAGCCTCTTAGACCTATAGAACATTAAGGAGACTACGTCTCTTAATATATACGCTACTAGCCTTATAAAAGTCTTTAACTTAGTTATCTAGACAGTTAGTAAACTAGACTATAAAAGGAGAAGTAAGACCCTCTAGTAGATACTAAAATATAAAACCGCGTATAGTAATTACCTAGACGTATAACGCTATAATAGCTACCTAGACAGTAAGACTCTTTATATAATAAGAGAGTTCCTTAGTACTATCTATAAGGTAAAACAAGACTACTAGAGATATATAATTAATAATATAAGTAATAACAAATCACTTTATAAGGTTATTAGCTAGTATAAGCTTATCTCTACCCTTAAGGTACTACCTTTAGAGATAGATAGAGTTACGATAAAGAATACCTTAGAAAAGGCTAAGGCCTTTTAAAGAAGAATCCTAGAGCGCTTTACTATAATAGACAATCTTAATATAGACTTACTTAAGGGCTAAGACAGACCTAACAACCTTTTATAGGCCTAGTTAGTATTAATTAAGGAAGTAGAGCGTAATACTATTAGTATATTAAGTACGTCGCCTAGTATAGATAAGGTTATAGTACGCCTTCTTTAGGCCTACTAAGAGTACGTTAAGTATAAGATCTATAGCCTGTTTAGTAAGTACCTTACCTTTAACTACTTTCTAGAGTTATAAAAGCTTATAGAGGTAGCTATACTACCTAAGGTAAGTAAGAAAGATAAGACATTACTCTAATCTTAGTAACTAATCGCCTTACTCTTATATGTCTTAAAAGGGCTAGAATAGGTTATTACCTAGTAGATCGTATAAATAGCTATTATATATAGTATCCTTAGCCTATAACATAGTAGGGCCTTACTAAAGTAATTAGTAATAGATCTAGTCGTATCCTTTACTTATAACGTTAAGGCAGCTATAATAGCTAGGCTTAAAGTCACGATAGTTATAATAAATATATAAAGAGTATTTAACGCGCTACTTTTCTAGTACCTACTTACTTATATAACGTAGTAAGGCTAGCTACTCTCTCTACTCTAACTTATTTATAGCTTTCTTATAGAATAAAGGGTCTAGGTTAGACTAGAAAAATCGATTATAATAAAGTATAAGGTCTTATATAGTACTCCTTAAGGCTCTTTACTCTTACTAGTACTCTATATACTTTACCTTATAAAGCTCTTCTTATAAGATACTAAACTACACTTTAGATATATAAATAACGGCTACCTTTACTATACTATAAGATTACTAGATAATAATGTACGACTCTTTACTAAGGACGTAAAGGACATTTTAGCCTAAGGGACTAAAAACAAGATCTTCTTTATACTAGAAAAGCTTAAAATAATATACTTATCTTAAAAAGAGGACAACTATATAATATAGTATATAGTTAACGACAAACTTACGATTACCCTAATTATAGAGGCCTTATAAGAAGGCGTGTAGCCGGCCCTTAAGTAGCTTAGCGTCTAGTTTAATAAGAAACTTACCTTTAAGAGGTATATCTCTAAGAGGGCTATTAAAGTACAGAAAGTAGCCTACTATATCTATAGACTTATACAAACTATATATAGGCTACTAGCTAGCTTACTCTAAAAGGCAGTTATTACATGTGTACTACCCTTAATACTATATAGTATAAAGGTATAGTATAGTAGACAGACTAAGGCACTATACTATTAGTAAGGTAATAAGAACTAGATAGTTAGTATATAGAATAGCTAGTATATTAATATTATAGACAAGACGATTACTCTAGCTATATAAGGGGTACTACTAGTCTAAAAGACTACTCTAAACGTTACCTTCTTTTAAGATATAGGCCTCTCTTTAGTAATAGCCGCTCTTAAAGATACAAAACTATACTTTATAATACGACTATAGATAGTAGACTAGGAACACTCTTTTATATAATATATTACACTACTAATAATTACTTAGAAAAGGAGATAAGGTATATAATAGATCTTAAAGACTAAAGTCTAGTAACTAGGTATAATCCTCTTAGCTATACTATAACTAGTCTTACGCCTATTATACTTTACTAGAGGCTACTAATCTAATCTAACTAGTAGCGCTACTAAAGAAGCTACGTTAAAGGCGTTTAAAGAGTAGTAAGTAATACTCTTATCTAACGATATTATGATTTTTTTAGATAGTTTAGAATAATATAAGCGTAGAATAAGATATGTTAGGTATAGGTACGCGATATACTAGAACTACTAATAGGTAGCTATAAGCTATAGGTTAATTAACCTTATATCTTACGTCTTTAACACTAAGTCTATTAGCGCCTAGAAGAGGCTATAACAGGCTATTAGGATACTACTTAGTGTTAGCTAACACTAGATCTAGCTATATATTAATAGTACCTTAGTTATCTAGTATATCTAAGGTAATATATTACTGTTATTATAGTAAGTATTTTATAACTACTAAGATATTATATAAATACATAACGTTAGAGTCTACTAGGCCTTAAGGTATATAGGTATTAAAGGTAATAAGGTAGTAGACAGGCTAGCTAACATTAGGGTACGCGTACTTAACTAGGACATAAGACTACTATTAGAGCCTATAGTAAGCGGTATCTATATAATATACTAGTAATATAAGGAGACTATATAAGAGTCTTAGTAGACAAAGTGTAGCTCTAAGCTGTCTAGCTAGTACAGAAAGTAAGACCTCGACTATTAAGTTAAACCTTAACTAGAGCTAGAGCTCTCTTAAGCTACGCTATATTAACTCCTTACTATCTAGTCTTCTTATAAGGACTTCTTATAGTATTACCTTAAATTTAACTATAAAGATACTAACCTACTCTACTCTTATAGTAACTAGAAGGTACCGGACTACGTAGTATACTACTAAAAGGTAAGACGCTCTTTCTAGTACTAGCCTAAGAGGCCTTAGACACTACCTATAAGCTTGATTAAGAGTAAGGACTACCTTACACGCCTAATACATGTACTAAAACACTTTATAAGATACCTTAAGGTTATAAGGTTCTACTCTAGGATTTACCCTTAGTAAAACAAGTAGTACTTAGGGTAGTAGGCTATCTTACCCCTCCTTTTAGTTCTCTTACTCTAACTCTTAGGTAGTATAGTATAGTCTTAAGAGACGGTTTCTTTAGCTTTAGGCTCTAGCTCTTATTATCTCTTTAGTAGTAGTACTAGTAGTAGTACTCTTTTCTTCTTCTTTTCTCTTATAATATACTTTCTTTCCTTTATCTTTACTAGCCTTTAGCCCTAAAACTATTACTTATAATAGTAGTACGTAACCTAGTCTTATAACTATTAGAACAATACGCTATTATAGTAACTTAGAGGGTATCCTTATCTCTTACTCTAGTAGTCTATCTTACTTATAAGGAAAGGTTATAGTTACCTAGCTTCTAAGAGGCTATACGCGAATCACTACTTAAAATGCTTTCTAGGGTTATACTCTATATGTAAACATATCTATAGCTTAGTACGTCCTTATACCCTTTAGGAGGTTACAGGCGCCTAGCTTTGCTAGCGCCCCCTAGACGCAAATTAATATCATCATTATTATTATCTACATCCTTTCCTAAGGTAAAATAGGAAACAGCCGTAATAATGGCATCTTCTCAGGGCGTCGTGCCAGAGTACGAAAGATTGGGGTTTGTACCGGCTTAAAGGATCTGCTCAAGTAGAATAGGATCAGGTACTTTAGGAGAAGCCCCAATCTCTTGCCAAGTCGATGAGATTTCGTGCGTTAGCATGTGCTGATTCACGTCGTAGTCGACTATAATTCCAGACTTGTATTTGATATCCACGTAATAGGAAAGCCCTATGTTATTTGTGAGGTCGAAGAATGTGCTTGCTTTTGCAAGGGGTTTGATTCCTAGTAATTCGATATAGTACGACCAGTGATTGAGAGTTGTCGGGTTTTTCATCCGCCATTAATATAAAGCTATAATATCTAGCTGATCCAGTAGTTTAGGAAAGCCAGAGCCAAGATCTGCTTTAGCCTACTTTGCATATTCTAAGGCGTTCGTAAGTAAATCCAAATCTAGTAGACACTTTAGATTAGGGTCGCAAGCTTTGAGCTACAAGACACAAGATCTTAATAGGGAGAGATTTGGACTGAAATATGTCCCAAAGACGGACCTAAACCTCTGGTTTCTCAAAGTAGTTAGAGACAGTTCGATAGAGGAACGAAACCTTCGCTTTAGGTGCGATGTCAGAGAATTAAACATCATTGACTCGAGTAGTCCTATACAGACACTTTTTAGCCGCGCGTCTATTAAATTACACCTCGTGGAGATTTCTTCTGTCGTTAGAGGTTGTATAGGTGCATTTTCCGCCAGGTTTTCGTCCTCATCTTCTGCCCACGACAGAGTGAGCAGTGTCACTGGCTGGTTCGACCTCTTTTGGGCTGTTCGCACTATCTGAAATATTTGCGATGCTTGCTGATGATAAAAAGGGTCGGTGTGCTCTAGCATATGTTCGTATAGTGCCTCGAGGTCGGCGGGAAGATGCCGCACTCGTTTCTAGAGATCCGAAATCCGGTTGTAGTCTCGTAATCCATGGAGCAAGGACTTCACAACAAGCTTTACCTACAGAAAAACCCCACTAGCTTTCTCGACGATCTTATCGATCAAGAGAGAAACTTGAACTGCGTGCTGCTGAGACAGCTGAACCATGTACTTATGGGTACCTAGCTTGTCTTTGACATAGTGGTTGATATCACCATAAGTTAGGTTTTGCAACTTCAGATTTGGACACTCAGAAAAACCCCGCTCAAAAACTACTAGAGGTCTGCTGGATAGGCATATCTTGATGTGGGGCGAATTGGCGTACCCTTCGAACAACTCGACGATGTCTTCGTAGTCGCCTTCGGAGTCTTCGTATTCATCTAGTCCGTCTATGAAAATGCACATCCTTAAGCTCATTTAAAGCCTTTGAAGTACAGCGCGGAAAGTACTATTTAACTGGGACATACTCTAAGCCTTGGGTGCTGGCGGCAGCAATGGGGAGTCCGTGGGTATCTTGCTGGAAATCAATGCTGTTGCTCTCGCTGACCAGGCTTCCCAGATACCGGGCAATATTTTAGGGAGCAGCTGGCGATGGCGGTGCAAAGTGTCAAACAAGAGCGACCGTAAAAGACCCCGTTGGTACGCTGTTCTGGATCTCCGCTCCTCCAAAAGAAGTAACCTGAGATTTCACATGGCATCGATCCCGCCCATTTTTGAAGGTCCTCTCTCGTCCTCTGATTCTCGTAGATGTATCTCATTAGAGTCGATTTCTTTGACCCTGCTTTCCCGTTTATCTAGTATATCCCATTCCCAAAACGGAGCCATTTAACAAAGTTGCTCTACGGCTTTAAGGAGACGTGTGACTCCTCGTATATCCATTCGAATGTCTGATGATAAGCAAGTTTAACACTCTCCAGGCGATCTGAAAGGGTAGAAAAGGAGAGGCTTCCTAGGATACCGCTTTTAATCATCAGGTTACGAATTTCTTCTTTAGTTTAGAGTGTCGTAGCAAAATTGTCGACATCCTGGTTCTCCGAGTCTTTCAGGCTTTTGGTGGTCTGTAATTGGCCAACAACATCTAATTTTTCTCTTAGAAATTCATTTATCTTTTGGGCGGATTTTCCGTGTTTGGATCTTGTAGACGCTTTATGCTTAAGCAGCTTCTCCGCTTAGACGTACAATTGGTTTGCTAAACCGTCGCGATTGTTGAGAAAAGTGTCCAAAATAAGTCTCGTAGATTGTTCAAGTTGATGAGAGGTATGAGACTGCTGGACAGCAAGGTCATTGAGGGCACCGCTGTACTAGATCAATCTCGGTATTTAACTGGTTCGCAAACAGAGTAACCTACCGAAAGGAAACTAGAATGCGGAATTCTATCTCGCTCCTGAACTCACGGAGAGTTGCTGCAAGTTTTCCGATCTTATCTCGATTCCACGATGCTTCTAGCGCTTTTCGGAAACTCGCCTACCTTCTAAAATGTGCTGCTTGTGGAAGCTTAGAATTGATAGAGCTACCATAGTTCAAAATTGACTCTTTGGGTTTGCCTAGAGCAAATGAAGGGCCGACGTTCAAATCGGCAACTTGGGTCCGGCTTGCTGCTTTCCCTTTTTCTTCCTCCTTTCCCTCTGATTTCTTCTTTTTGACCTTTAATTTCTGAAGGCGCGTAATTAATTCTTCCGTGATGCTTACACATCTTCGGCAGAGCTTATCTAAGGCCTTACCGTCCTCTGAAGGCTTGAGCACCGAAATACCCCGGTGCTCAGGCAGTTTCCCCCTTAATCCCTTTACTAACGTCGTAATATCTTCTGTGATAGTCTTAACATCGACATTTTCCGTCAATACCCCCTCTTTCGATTTGTACAACTGCCTACTGAAGGAGAGCAACTTGCTGCCGAAATCCACGAATTGAATGACACTGCTTGCGACGGAAAGGGCAGTCAAAGGATCTATAGTGTTTCTAGACTCGTGGACACTTTCAATTGGTTTGTATGAGGATATAATGAGAAACAAAGTTGCAAGGTGAAAAGAAGGCTTAGAATTCTGCGACGCGTTTGAATTTGCAGGACAGCCTATCGATGCTGAGTCCACGACCTAGCTACGTGGCACCGCATGTTCGCGCGCAGTCCTCCCTATCTTGTTGAATCCGTTTCAATCCTAGAAAAGTCTTATTATTCTGCATTATTCATACAACATAATGCAGCACTTAAGTGAAATACATTGATTTCCCTGAGGTTTAAGCGTGGTCTAACAATTTTTCAGGCTATGCCGCCTCTGAACGACGAGGCTCCTAGAATGCTTACATTGCATCTCCGCATCGCGTCGAACTTTGATCCCTGGAATATTTAGAAGCACATTCAAAGCATTTTAAAATCGTCTTTAGGTGATTCTTTTAGGTCTAAATATTATTATCGTTAAAATATCTTCTAAGTCTTGTTACACGGGATAATCGTTCTATCGCGGGAACTAATGAATTAAATTAACTAAGGAAGAAGGATTAAAGTGATTGTATAGAGTGCCTATATAGTATAGTAAACAAAGAGCATCTATTTTTCTGGTAATCTCACCTTCTTCTCGCCTCCCCAGCCTCGCGACAGCCTTTTTCTCTCAACCACTGTGTCTCCTTACGCCCATTTCCTCACAACATCCTTTTCCTCACCGCAATCTATTCCATCATGGCAGCAACCGAAGAGCCAGCGCCTGCCGTACGAGAGTCACCGTGGGATGAACGTCCGCCATTGGTGTAAGTTCCCTAAATCCCCGGGCGCGATTCCAGGTCCCCGCCGTGGTTGCAGCTAACTTGCAGCCATCTCAGACGCGCACTGGCAAACAATGACAAGGACGATATAAGCTCCCTCTTGGACAGTGGCGAGGACATCAACTTCATGTGGACCGCCCAGTTACCCTTCAAAACGAGAAGGAGCATCGAGGGAATATCGATGTGCAGGTATCCCATTGATTTCGCCGCTGCAGCATCAAGCCTTGAGATCGTCCAGTTCCTGGTCGATCGTGGGGCGCGGCTCGACATATCCAACGCATTGCACGCAGCGGCAGCTGCGGTCGGCTGTAGCGAGGAAGATCAGAGTGAACGAGTAAAGGTTATCGAGTTCCTTTTGACGCAGGGGATGGATATCAATAAGCTCGAGTTTGCTGGCGAGGAAGACTTTGCAAACCAGTATTGGGGCAGGCCGTACGGAACCCCCTTACATTATGCGGCCTCGTGGGGATGGCCGAAGATAGTCGAATGCCTGCTCGATAATGGGGCAGACCGGGATGTCCACGCTGTTTCCTACAAAAGCAAGGTTGATTATGGCACAGCACTCGACTGGCAGAAATCGAATGATCCGGATGAGGGAATGTATAACAGACGTGTTTTGGTACTTCTGGGGGGCAATGAAGATAAATTGTGATGTCATGAGCGCGGTCAGGTGACTCTATAGGATGGACCATCGGGTGATAGTTGCTTTCGTATCGCAAGTTTTATCAAAAGCATCGGCTTTGTGGCCGTACTTGTAGTTAGCCGCGCTGCTGTCCATGTAGTATTTCTATTTCAACCGCTCCTCTTTATTTATAGCCTACTTATTATTTGCTTTAAGGATAATAATAATATTAATATTAATTTACGTCTAGAGGCGCTAGTAAAGCTAGCTACCTGTAACCTTCTAAAGAGTATAAGGACGTACTAAGCTATAAGATTATTTATATATAGAGTATAACCTTTATCACAGGTTAGAACCTAGTAAAGGGTTAGTACTAAGTACGTAACTAACTAGACTATTGTTACCTTACTCTAATAGTAAAGTTTTCTCTTACCTTCTTGTCTTATACAAACCTTTCTTTCTTAGAGTATTCTTCTTATAGAATAAGTTAGTATTTACCTAAGTATTATATTATTAACTCTTAATATTAGAATACCCTTACCTTTTTATTTAATTAAAGCTTTTTATAGCTCTATTATATAAGAGTATAAGATAGATTAAGACTATCTTATAATAAGTTTCTAAACCTTCTTTAGTAGCTTATCTAAAAGCTAAGAAGGCTAAGAGTAACTACTTATTAACTAGAGTTAAGGAGAGTATTTAGAGTATAAAGTAAAGTAGCTAAAGCTAATAATATAATAGCTTTAGGCCTAAATAGCTTAATATATAAATCTACTACTTTTAATTATTTTAACTATTAAGTACTCTAATACATAAGATTATAATAGCTTAGGAATTAAGTATAAGGTAACTACGTACTATAACTAAGGTAATAGTAGTGTTAAAGAGTATAAGAATTAAGAAAAAAAGAAGAAAAGAAAGAAGGATTTAGAGATTAGTCTATAGTTAAAGTAGTAATATACTTTTAAATATACTATAACTATTTATTAACTCTTACTTCTTTTACTTTATAAAAATATACCTAATATTCTAATCTTTCTTTTTTACTAAAAGGTTATAGACTATTAGAGTAAGAAGAGATAATGTAGACATAATAAATAAACCTTAATAAGATATAAGCCTCTTTTTAAGTAACCTTTTAAAATACCTCTTTATAAGTAAGTAGTAATAAACTTAGTATAACTTCTTAAATATTAGTAAAAATCCTTTTCTTAAGTAAGACTAAGTTAAATAAGAAGATTACTTAAGTAAGAGTAAAGTAGTACCTTAAGTAAAAGTAAGACTACTTTATAGTAGTTAAGAAAAGAAAGGCTTTCTTAATAAACTTATATAAATTTAATAACCTTCTTAAAGTAAAACAACCTTTTTAGTAAACTTATATTAAAGAAACAAGAAAGAGCTATTATAATACCTTTTTTATTTTACTAAAAAACAAGATATATATTATAGGTTAGAACCTAGTAAAGGGTTAGTACTAAGTATATAACTAACTAGACTATTGTTACTCTACTCTAATAGTAGTAGAGTTTTCTTTTACTCTCTTATCTTATATAAACCTTTCTTTCTTAGAGTATTCTTCTTATAAAATAGAATAATACTTACTTAAATAGTGTATTATTAGCCTATAATATTAGAATACTCTTTCTTTTTTATTTAATTAAAGCTCTTTATAGTTCTGTTATATAAGAGTATAAGATAGATTAAGACTACCTTATAATAAGTTTTTAAACCTTCTTAAGTAGCTTATCTAAAGGCTAAGAGGGCTATAAGTAGCCGTCTACTAACTAAGGTTAAGGAGAGTAACTAGAGTATAAGATAGAGTAGCTAAAGCTAGTAATATAATAGCTTTAAGCCTAGATAGCTTAATATATAAATCTACTACTCTTAATTGTCTTAACTACCTTAATACTAATCCTAGCTATCTTAATACTATTATATACTATCTTAATACTACTACTTGTTACCCTTATAAGGCTACTAGTAAAGCTATATAAAGAAAGGTAAAAGAGACTCTTCTTAGATACTACTACCTTTAATAAGACTAAAGCCTAGTCTATTATATAGTGTTTAGTAGTTAAAGCTAAGCTTAAGGTAGACCTTACTTACGACTTAGCTACTATACAATTTTAGTACGTCTATAGCTAGTTAATAAGTAAGGCCTTAGCCTAGATTACTTTATAAGTTAGATTAAATATATAAAATAGCTTATTTATTAAGAATAAGATAGATATCTAGCTATTAGAGTAACTCTAGTAAGTATTTAATAATACAAAGTTAAGAAAGTCGGTATTAGGTGTGTATTTATAAAGTAAAAGAGTTAAAGACAGATATATAGTATATTTAAAGACAAAGGTAAGTAGTTATAAGGTTAAGGGTTTATTATTAGTACTATTAATAGTACTACCTTTACTTCCTAAGATACGCCCTTCTTAAGACTTATTACTAGAACGTAGTAGACAAGATCTAAATACTCTTTAAGTACTATACTTTATACTAACGCTCTTAAAGTACTTTTCTTAAGACATATCTTATTTATAGCTTTAAACTAAGGTATACTTATATAACTAAAGGCCTAAGGTAGAACTACTTAAGATTTTATAAAGAGATGTATATACTACTAGATTACTCTTATATATACGTATAGTACGTCTTAGCTTTACTAGATTAAAGAGCTTCTTACTACTCTACTATAATAATATAATAAGAACTACTTAAGAGTCGTAATTAGTTAAGTCTTATCTAAGGCTAAGGCCTTTATAAAGAGTCTAGTCTAGTGTTCTACCTTTACTCTAAGCCTCTTTAAGAGAATACTACTACTACTATATAATAAGAACTAAAAGAAGACGTCTATCTTTTTCTTATTAAACTTATATTCTATCTTTAAGTAGTACTACTTATTAAGACTTATTAATTACTTACTTTTTATATAGATATACTAGACGTCTCTTAACCCTAGAATACTAAGGGTTTTAATAGCCTTATCTAAGTACTTAATAGTATTATCTTATATAAGAAGTTTATATAAGGTTCTTTTTCTTATAAGCTTTCTCTTTTTTTTTTACCTTTATTAAAGGCCTACTTATCTTACTAGTAATATATATGTCTTAAGAAAGGTACTAGTAAAAGTAGTTAGTATTAAGCTATTTAGGTCTATTCTTATCTTAAGCTTTTCTTTACTAATATATATACTTTATCTAGACTTAACTTTCTTAACCTTTTTTTTAAAAGTAAGGACATTACCTTAGCTATATTTACTATATTATATAGCGCTTCTTTAGTATATTATATATATAAGACCTATACCTCTTATTAACCTTATATATATTATGTCTATAACTATTTATAGCTCTTTATTAAGTTACGACCTTTGTCTAAGTTTTATAACCTTTATCTATCTTATAACTAAGTTTTACGACCTTTGTCTATCTTACAACTAAGTTTTATAACCTTTGTCTGTCTTATAACTAAGTTTAACAACCTTTATCTATCTTATAACTAAGTTTAATAACTTTTATCTAAGTTTTATAACCTTTATCCTTAATTATAACCTCTTCTTATCCTTTTAAAAGAATAGCCGCTTTTTCTTTCTTATTATCTACTCTTTACTATAGCCGCTAGTTCTATAACTTTTATTATTAAGGTTATTAGCTCTTACTCTAGTTAAGTTTTAAGACTTCTTAAGTTAACTCTACTTTTTACGACTTATTATTAAGGATTTAGGCTCTTACTTATCTAAGTTTCTAGACCTTTTACGTCTACTTTTATAACTAGTTATTAAGGATATAAGCTCTTACCTTAGTTAAGTTTATAGATATCCTAAGTCTATATAGATCTACTATCTCTCTAAGGTTAATAGTATATAAATCTACTATTCTTTAAAGTTAATAGTATATAAGTTTAACGACTTTACTAGTTAAGGGTTAAAGTCTTACTTAGTTATATTTTAAAGACCTCTCTAAGTCTTAATAAGTTTAATAACGTCTTAGGTTAAGAAGGTACTATTCTTTTAAATATTCTTATTTCTTATAGTAAGACTATCTTATAAACGCCTTTTTCTTACCTTTTACTACTACCTTTACTAATACTACTTACTTCTTATAATACTATTATTATATCTTCTCTTATATCTCTTTTAACGCCTACCTTACTTACTTTACTTACTTATTATATAATAAGTAGTTAATATTTATTACTTACTTTTTATCTTACTCTTTATATAGCTATATCTACTTTTACTACTTTATTTAAGTTAGAATCTCTTTTCTTACTAAGGTAAAGTATTACTTATACTCTTATAAGAACTCTTTTTTATAAATATAACGTACTTCTTATATTTATATCTTACGTTAATACTATAATAGATCCTCTTAGTACTTTACCTTTATGTCTAATAAGATGTTTACTAGCCTAAGTCTTAGTACTTACCTTATCTTTCTTATAAGTAGCCTGTCTAAGTAGCCTTATCCTTTTATTACTTCTTACTATTACTATTAGAGAAAGCCTTTAAGTATTAGCTTTTTTCTTACTTCTTACCTTTACTACTACTCTTTAAGCTATAGTACCTTTTAAAAGTATATAAACTACTTGTCTTTTTAGAGCTAGATAATAAACGCTCTATCTTACCTTTATAATACCTAAGCTAAGAGGTTTACTATAGCTAGTTATTAAAGGTACTCTTAAAACTATGTCTTAAAGTCCTTAAAGCGCTTAGATAGTTACTAGAGGCTATATAAGTACGCTATTAAGAAGTAGTGTAGCTCTAGCTTTTCTACTCTTATAATCTACTTAAAAAGGCTCTTAAACTTCTTAACTACTACTATAAAGGCCTTATTATTTACTATACTCTCTTCTTACTAGGCTACTATAAGTAGTACTTTATACTTAATAATTAGTACTATATACTACTAGTATACTTATATATAGTATACTAGTCCTTACCTTACCTTAAAGACCTTAAGCTAGTATACCTAGCTAACTATACTACTAAACCGCTACTTTAAGTATACTAGAAAGTTAATACTTACTACTATTATTAAGAACTTAAGGTATATATACGTTATAACTTAAGAGATAGTCTACTTATATACTATAAGCTCTTTTTCTCTTACTACTATTATTATATATCTATACTTAGCTAGGTTTAGCTATAGCTAGTTCTCTCTTATTTATACCTTAACTCTTATTAAAAGCGCTTATACC